ATACCAGCTCCCAGCCCGCAGTCAGACTGTCACTGCTGCTCCCGACGTTGATGAATTCTCATCAGCATATAAAACACAACTCCCTCGAACCCCCACCTCCACAGTAAACTACAAGTTGATCCTGTTGTTTCCCATTCCCTTCCAGGTTTTGATTTTGAGTGAGATGAGAAGCTGTTGGAAGGTTTTGCAGAGAAATGACATTACAAGACTTTTTACGTTTTAAAAGACCACTCTGGCTGTGGTATAAGAGACCAGACTATAGAGCAGTGGTCTCCAACCTTTTTTTTGCACCAGGGAGCAGTTTCCTCAATATTTTCACGGACCAGGGAAAGGGGGATGATTTTGGGATGATTCAAGTGCATTACATTTATTTATTATGCCACTGCTGATCTGACAGGAGGCAGCGCTCAGGTGGTAATGTGAACAGTGGGGAGTGGCTGTAAATACAGATGAAGCTTTGCTGGCTAGCCTGCCACTCACCTGCTGTGTGGCCAGTTTCTAACAGGCCACAGACCAGAACTGGTCCACGGCCTAGGGGTCCCAAACCCTTGATCCCCAAAAGATCAATGGTTAAATCAGGGTCACTCAGGGCTATTACTACTTAATGATGGATTGGACTCAGATGATAGTAATGTAAGTGGAGAGTGGGTGGGTAGGTATTTTTGCAAATCTAATAAAAAGTGGAGAAGGAAATGGCAACCACTCCAGTACTCTTGCCTGGAAAATCCCGTGGAAAGAGGAGCCTGGTGGGCTATAGCCCATGGGGGTCACAAGAGTCGGACATGACTTGGTGACTAAACCACCACCACCAATGAAAAGTGGGATCCCATGTTCTTCAATGGGAAAACTCAACATTAAAAGGGTGTCTGTCATCCCTATGCTAATTTATAAATTTAATATTCCAATAAAATGCCAATAAGTTTTTAAAAGAAATTAGGCAAATGGATTCTAAAGTTCATATGGAAAAATAAGCAAGAATGGTAAACAAGTAAAATGATAATGTGCATAGTGCTTACTCGGTGTCACTCTGTGCATTTAACGCAACAACCCTGTGAAGTACTACTATCAGCCCTTCTAGATGAAGAACCTTGAGCCCAGAGTAGTTAGATCGCTTTACCAAGGTCACACAACTACTAAGTAACAGCCAGGATTAACCCCAGGCAGACTGATTCTGAAGCCTCTTGACCTAACCAACAAATGAAAGAAGAATGAGGAGGGATCGCATAACATAAGCTCCTAATTCTTGCAATTTCCCCTTCATGGCACTTGGGATCTCTGTGCTGATCTCCATGACTCCAGGGAGAGTGGTGGGTACTGCATGGTGTCCCACTTTCCAGGAGCCAGATACCAGCTCCCAGCCCGCAGTCAGACTGTCACTGCTGCTCCCGACGTTGATGAATTCTCATCAGCATATAAAACACAACTCCCTCGAACCCCCACCTCCACAGTAAACTACAAGTTGATCCTGTTGTTTCCCATTCCCTTCCAGGTTTTGATTTTGAGTGAGATGAGAAGCTGTTGGAAGGTTTTGCAGAGAAATGACATTACAAGACTTTTTACGTTTTAAAAGACCACTCTGGCTGTGGTATAAGAGACCAGACTATAGAGCAGTGGTCTCCAACCTTTTTTTTGCACCAGGGAGCAGTTTCCTCAATATTTTCATGGACCAGGGAAAGGGGGATGATTTTGGGATGATTCAAGTGCATTACATTTATTTATTATGCCACTGCTGATCTGACAGGAGGCAGCGCTCATGTGGTAATGTGAACAGTGGGGAGTGGCTGTAAATACAGATGAAGCTTTGCTGGCTAGCCTGCCACTCACCTGCTGTGTGGCCAGTTTCTAACAGGCCACAGACCAGAACTGGTCCACGGCCTAGGGGTCCCAAACCCTTGATCCCCAAAAGATCAATGGTTAAATCAGGGTCACTCAGGGCTATTACTACTTAATGATGGATTGGACTCAGATGATAGTAATGTAAGTGGAGAGTGGGTGGGTAGGTATTTTTGCAAATCTAATAAAAAGTGGAGAAGGAAATGGCAACCACTCCAGTACTCTTGCCTGGAAAATCCCGTGGAAAGAGGAGCCTGGTGGGCTATAGCCCATGGGGGTCACAAGAGTCGGACATGACTTGGTGACTAAACCACCACCACCAATGAAAAGTGGGATCCCATGTTCTTCAATGGGAAAACTCAACATTAAAAGGGTGTCTGTCATCCCTATGCTAATTTATAAATTTAATATTCCAATAAAATGCCAATAAGTTTTTAAAAGAAATTAGGCAAATGGATTCTAAAGTTCATATGGAAAAATAAGCAAGAATGGTAAACAAGTAAAATGATAATGTGCATAGTGCTTACTCGGTGTCACTCTGTGCATTTAACGCAACAACCCTGTGAAGTACTACTATCAGCCCTTCTAGATGAAGAACCTTGAGCCCAGAGTAGTTAGATCGCTTTACCAAGGTCACACAACTACTAAGTAACAGCCAGGATTAACCCCAGGCAGACTGATTCTGAAGCCTCTTGACCTAACCAACAAATGAAAGAAGAATGAGGAGGGATCGCATCTTCTATTTTAATATATTATAAACCTTTAAATGTCTAAGTCTACCAGTGCATGAATGGGCAGACCAATGGAAAAGAAGGTAAAAGTACAGAAAGAGGTCCTAAATATATATGGGGATTTAGTGTTGAAAAAGGTTGTTTTTTCAATTTGGAAAAGGTGGTTTCATTAATTGTTCTTGCCACTTGGTTTCCCTTTGTTGGCAAGGGTTGGTTGGTTTGGCTTCCCGGCTTTGGGGGCTTGATTTGGGGCAACTTTTGGCGTTGGGGGGGGGGGGGGCTTGGCTTCTTCCCTTGGTTGGGTTTGCGGGTTCGGCGGGGCTTTGTTGCTTGGCCGCAGCATCCATCTAGAAAACAGAAAGCTATATCCATACCTTACCTAATACATTTTAAGATGAAAACTGAAGACTTCAAATATTATGTACAATATTACATGTTACTGAATACATGAGATACAAGTAAATGTGTAAAATATTACATTGCAAAGTTTCTGAGAAATATTAGAGGTCCCTTGGGAAGTGATGTCAGGTTCATATTGGCTCTTCTCATGGTACAGAGCTGGAGTCTTACCCAAGGGGTCATCCATCACTTTACAGCTGTGAAATTCTAATCATGTGACACTGGAGCAATTGGATACCCAAAGGGGTGGGGTGAGGGGCCTCAAACTAAGTTTTGATACCTGACACAAAAATCAACCCAAAATGGATCACAGACTTAAATGTAAACCTAGAGAACTTATAGAAAAAGCACAAGAGAGAAGTTTTCAGGATCTAAGGCTAAGAGTTCTTAGACTTGACTCCAAAAGCCTAAGAGGATAAACGGGTAAGTTGGACTTCATCAAAGTTAAGAATGTTTGCTCTGAAAAAACAAAACAAACATGTTAGGATGAAAGGACAAGCTATAAACTGGGGAAAAAATATTTGCAAGCCACATATAATATATATAGTATCTATAATATATAAAAAAATTCTCAAATTTCAACAGTAAAAAATCCAATTAGGAAATGGGCAAAAGACATGATCAGAAATTTCAATGAAGAGGGTATACAGATGGCAAATGAGCATATGAAAAGATACTTGACATAAATTAGCCATTAATGGAGTGGAAATTCAAACCACAATGAAATATCACTACATACCTATCAGGTTGTCTAAAATAAAAAAAATAGCAACTACACAAAATGCTGATGAGAGTGCAGAGAAACTGGATGATTCATATATTGCTAGTGGGAATGTAAAATGATATGGCCACTCTGGAAAACAATGTGGCAGTTTCTTTAAAAACAAAACATCTAACTGGTTTATGACCCTGCATTACACTCTTAGGCATTTATTCCAGAGACATGATAGTTTGTGTTCACACAAAAATGTATAGATATGTTTATAGTAGCTTTATTCGTGGTAGTCCCCAAATGGAAACAACCCAAATATCCTTCAGTAGGTAAATGACTACACAAAGTATGGTTTCATTTTATCCACAACTTTTTACTTTGCACTTTATTGCAATGAAAAGGAACATGGATACAAGAACTTGGGTGTATCTCTAAAGGATTATGCTATGTGGAAACAAATAAAAAGGTTATGTACTGTATGATTCCATTTATACAACATTCTCAAAAGGAAAAATAGTTACAGAAATGGAGGATTAGTAGTTGCCAAGGGAAGTGGGTGTAGCTATAAAAGGGCAAATGAGGGCTCCTGGAAGTATGGAAATGTTCTGTATCTTGACCATCAATATCAACATTCTGGTTGTGATACTGTAATACAGTTCTACAAGATATTACCACCGGAAGAAACTGGGTAAACAGTACACAGTATTTTGCTGTACTATATATTACAACATAGGCATCTACAATTCATATGGGATTCCCTGCCCCTCCGGCTTAACACCCTCCAGTGGTTTTCCACTGTGCTTAAAATATCAGATCCTGGATCCTATGATCTAGTCCGCCTTCCAGGATCACTAGGTTCCCTTCAGGCTTTCAGTGGTCCATCAACACTGGCATTCTTTCAGTTCCCACACCAGAACTACTCCTGTAATCCACTAGAGGGCTTTTGTAAACTCTGTTCCCATCTGTAGTGTGTCCCTCTTTCTCTCGGATTTCTACTACGTAACTCACAATTACCCCTCAGACCTCAGATGAAGTCTCACATCCTTAGGACGACCTTCCCCAACCTCTTTAAATCAAATTTTCCTGTAAGTTCTTGCCTTGTTTTCCTCCACATCCACGGCCGCACTTTTGCATTTCATTGAATGATTACTTGATTAAATAGGTAGCTCTACAAGGAGAGGAACTGTATCTGTTAATCTCACTGCAAAGCTGCTAGCTCCGCACCTCAAGTGCTCAGGAAGGACAGTGTTTTTGGATTGAATGAAAACGCCCAGCCCGGCGCGGCGGTCCCTGCGCCGCAGCGTCATACTAGTGCCGCGCGTGGTATGCGTCACTTCCTCCCGGAAGACACTTTCTTCAGGAACCACTCAGATTCCTGTCACTTCTCAGAATCCTTCTGTGGTGGCCATGGCTCTGCCACCCTTCTTCGCCCCGGGTCGCCCCGGCCCGCCGCCCCCGCAGCCGCCGCCTCCCGCTCCCTTCGGCTGTCCGCCGCCGCCACTACCCTCCCCGGCCTTCCCGCCGCCTCTTCCCCAGCGGCCTGGCTCCTTTCCGGGGGCCTCCGCCCCCTTCCTCCAGCCTCCGCTGGCTCTGCAGCCCCGGGNGAGGCTGAGCGGGAGGCGGAGGCCGCGCGGGCAGCTGAGCGCGAGCAGGAGATTGACCGCTGGAGGGTCCAGTGCGTGCAGGAGGTGGAGGAGAAGAAGCGGGTAAGAGCAGCGGACGCTCGCGGGGGCCCGGATAGTGGTGTTTGACACCTGAAGGGGCGTGAGGCTTTGCACTGTCATTTCTCAGCTTTAAGCCTCTTTTTCCTCTTCCGTAAAATCAAAAGATAGTTTGTCTTTCCTACCACATATCTCCATTTTGGTTGCGAGTTAATAGTGTATAGTGTACACAGTACAGATGCTCTGGGTGCCCTGCAGAGTCTCATGAGTACCAAGTATAGGATTGCAGTGATCTTACGGGGATGATAATGTTTCTTGCTCCATCCCTCTGTCCACTTAGTAACATTCAAGACGAACAAGCGTCTGGGCCTTGCGTCTTGTATTGCTCTAGGTGTTTTTAAGAATTAAAAAAAATAAAAAAGAATACAAAATAAAAAGAACTTGGGGCCATTTCTCCAGGAACATATACCCTGATTGGCTGATGGGCCAATAGTGATGATTTCCCCAGATTCCTTTGTTTACAAGTTTAACTGTATTCTCAAGTTCAACAATGGTATTTTTGAGCACTTACTATATACTAGACACTATGCTGCCTACAGTCCTCACTTGCAAATGCCAGATCTTGTAACAACCCTGAGAGGTAGGCAGTATTATCCTAATTTTGCAGATTAGGTAATTGAGGCATAGAGAGATTAACTTGCCAACAGTCACACAACTGGTTTGGGGGCAGTTTCACTCCAAAGCCCACTGACCTCAAGTTCTTAAGTAGAGGGCAAGGGTGAAACTGAAAATTGGTCAGATGTTATAATTAAGGCATCCTCATTACTTTTGAGCTCCTCAAGGGACTTCCCCTGTCCTTTCGCTGTCCACAACCAGCTAGTATTTCCTCCCTTCTCCTATCTGCCACAGCCCTGAGTCTGATCCACCTCCCCTGTGAAGTGTGTTGATGGCAAGCTTTGTCTTCACACCTCCAGGAACATATCAGTGCCTTAAAGGAGAGACAGTACTTTAAGGGAATTTGAGCCAGTTCAGTAGACATTTAATGAGGACCTACTGGGGCTGGCTCACTACTCGGTGCTGGAGATAGAGATGAATAGGACATAGACCTTATCCTTGAGGGGCTTAGAGGACTATGGGGGATCGTGTCTGTATAGCATGGTGTGTGTTGGGATTTCAACTGGAGGTTGGGGGAAAGTATCAAGGAAGGCATCCCAGATGATCCAGTGACATCTCAGTTGAGTCTTATATGAAATGTCCAAGCCAAATGAAAGCAACATGTACAGTTCCAGGAACAAAAGAGTGAAACAGTGTGGTGTATCTGTAATGGTGAAATTATAGTGCTCATTTAACAGATGGGAAAGAGAGCTTTAGTCAAAAGGATCCTCCCTACCACCCACTGCAAGGGTACTGGAGAGGGAGTCCCGTGAGTAGTGACTTGAGGAACCAGGGTTATTTAGTCTCCATGTGAACCAGTTTAAGAAGAGTAAGAGTGGGTTTTCAGACATTGGAAAGGCTGTCCCATCAAAGATGTTAGACCAGCGGGGCATAGGCTGTGCTTAAGTGTCACTGAGAATGCTGGAGTTGGGGCCTTTCTGACCCCGTTCCTCATCCTCCCTGCTAGTCTGAATCTTTGCATCTCGGAGTCTGCATTTTTAATGACAGAGCCCCAGCTTGGCAAGGTAAGTTGGATGCAGATGTTCTTTGAACCACGCTTGAGAAACTCTGAGGAAGAAACAAAGACAAGGGCCCAGATGGAAGCTGCAGAGAAGATAATCCCTGGGCTGGAGCAGTGTAGAGGGGAGTGGTGCTCGGCCCCCAGAAACTGGGATGTTGATTCAGTGGAGTCTTTCTTAACCCTGGGACCACCCGATCCTCTGAAATCTCAAGCCCAGGCAGCTTTTCTCTGTTGTAAGGTTGTTCCTCTTTAGGTTCCATACTAGGTCTCATGGCTTCTCTTTCTCTTTCAGGAGCAGGAACTTAAAGCTGCTGCTGATGGTGTCTTATCTGAAGTGAGGAAGAAACAAGCCGACACCAAAAGAATGGTGGATATTCTTCGGGCCTTGGAGAAATTGAGGAAACTTAGGAAAGAGGCTGCGGCAAGGAAAGGTAAGCACGACTTTGCATTTCTTCTTTTACTTTACCCTGGCACCTCCCCGTCCCCAAAGCGTTTGATAGAAAAATGCTTGGTACTTCATGATTTTCACCCATTAGGGTAACCTATCAACAGTGCCTCAGAACTTTTGAAGCAGGAAGCCTCAGGTGTTTAGCCCTGGGTAGCCAAAATTGAAAAGGGTGTGGAAGCCCACTGCCGCACGTTCCTCTTGACTCACCATTCCCATCCCAGGCTCTCCTGGCTATACTTTCCTGAGTGAGTTTGGCGTGGCTGGTCAACTTTGCCCATATACCAAGGGGAAAGCTACCCTGTCTTTACTTGGTGCTTCAAAAGGTGTCAAAAACTTATCATGCTCTTTCAGATACATTTCAAACCTGAAACATTGCTATTTGAAAATGTATGAATGGTTAGACGGGGCGGGGCGTGCCCTGCAAATTGCATGGGTGTCCCTGACTCACCTGCAAGTCACTTTTGGACCTAGAAGACCTCAGTAGTCTCCTCTGGACTCTAGGGGGAGCACTGGTTTTCTAGAAGTTCCCCAGTTTGCTTTCCGTTTGCTGCCTGGATCTTTGCTCTTGCCAGTCTGCTTGTCTGGAGGGCCCTCAGTCCTTTCTTTCCCATTTAAGCTCTCACTCTCCTTCAGAAGTAAACACAGATGCAGCATCATCCACCCTTCCCTGCTCTGGGCTGAGGTGACCTGCTGCTCCTTTTCATTTGCACCTGGCTGGGTCAAAGCGCTGCCTTATTTAGTAGGCCATTGTCATTCACCAGGGATAGTTGAGAGTGCGCAAATTAGCAAGTACCACAGCAGCAAAAGATTTGTCCTGTGTGGTTTAAAATATGATTGAAAACTGCAGCTCAGACCCTTCATAAACTTTCTTTGGGATATGTGCACTCTGCCCACTCATTCACTAGCTAAGTGATTAGCTTCTGCATGCCCAGCCTCCAGACTGGCTGATTCAGATTCAGGTCTCAGAATCAGATGACCCCATTCAAGAGTCAGAGTGGTGTTTGCATCTACTGTGTCTACCTCTTTCTTTTCCTGACAAAAATTGCAAAACCTGAGGGCTACTATTTAATATTCCCCTACTTCATGTCTTCCATGAGGTATGTTCAGTAAATTTTCATCAAGTGAATTCACCAGCATAATTTCTCACTATTAGCCTTCCTCACTTTCCAAAAGAAGGGAGAAATTTTAGGAGAAATTATGATCTAAAATAAGCTGACTCTTTGGAATTGCCTTGAGTATAAAACAAGTCAGTGTCTAGTAACTGGGTTTGTTGGATACTTTGAAAGAAGTGCAACTTTCTAATTTCTCTTTAAGGCATGTGCTTCTCCAATTACCTACTGAGAAAACGAAGCTGGTTATGTAAGTAGGAACAAGTTGTAAAGAGTCTTATGGACTGGGACTAGATGTCTCACCTATGTTGAAAGCTGAGTGGAACTATTGAAAGACTTTTAGCAGAGAGTGAAATGATGACAAAGATTAGTGCTGGCAAGTAGAGGAAGATTTGGGGCTTCTAGGAGGGAGGAGAAAAGAGAGACTGATAGGCTACTGTTGTCTGGGCATGGATAGTATGGGAGTGTGAAATAAGGGTCAGATGGTGAGTTGGAGAAAAGTTTATGGATTTAAGAGATGTGAGTAGTGTGTGTGAAGTACGTGTATGCACATAAGTAAATAACTTGGGGAGCTCATGTGGGAGCTGAAGGAAAAAATGACTTTCAGGTTCTAGCTTGATCTCTTAAATGAATGATGGTACTGTTCTAATTGACCAGGAAAAACAGGAGCAGGAATAGGCTCAGGGCTGATGAGTTTGGTTTAGGACCTGTTGAGTTTGAGGTGGCCTTGGGGCATTCTGGATAAGAGTTTATTAGCATGTAGCCATAAATTGGAATCACCTTAAGGAAATTGTGTGGTATGAGATGAGGGTCAAAAACACAAAATCCTAGGAAATGTCAAAATCAAACTGGGTAAGGAGGAGACTACAAAAGCGATCAAGAGAGATAGGAGGAAAGTGTAGACCTCCTGGGGCTTCCCAGGTGGTACTAGTGGTAAAGAATCTGCCTGCCAGTGCAGGAGATGTAAGAGACACAGGTTCGATCCCTGGGTCGGGAAGACTGTCTGGAGGAGGGCATGGCAGTTCATTCCAGTATCCTTGCCTGGAGAATCCCTTGGACAGAGGAGCCTGGTGGGCTGCAGTCCATAGGGTTGCAAAGAGTCAGACACAACTGAAGCGACTTGGCATGCGCCCATGTAGACTCCCTGCTTTCTTCTGGAAAGTTGCAAATGCTGGAAGAGATTGTGTAATAATGAGTAGGTTACTTGAACTTCTCTGTACCTTGATTTTTCCTCACCTGTACGAAGGAAATAGTGATAGTACCTATCCTTGGGGTGTTGCAATGAATAAATTAGTAAACATACATAAAGTGTTTAAAACCATCCTGGCAAATGTTTAAGTGTTTCTTCTTATTATTACCATCACCATCAAGTAATATGAAGATTAAGGGCCGTCCCTAACAGATGATTAGTGACCTGTGCGGGGTGCATTTCAGTGGGGTGGCACGAGTAGAAGACAGACTAGACAAGATCAAAGAGGGAATAGGAAATCAAAAAAGCAAACAGTGAGTCCAACTCACTAAAAGTTTGCCTGTGAAGGGAAGCAGGAAGGATAGTTGATGGCTTGAGGTCCTATAGGAAGTAGGGAGATTCAGATCCTGGATGGAGGTGTTCACGTCAGTGGAGAAGGAGCCATTTTCCACTGGAATGAAAATGAAGAGGGCTAGGATGGGTAGTAAGGTAAATGAGCAAAGTCAGGGGAAAAAAATGTTAAGGAATTCCCTGCCTGATGGACTCTTTTTCTCTAGGGAAAATGCTAGATGGGTTGCTTAGAGTAGAGAAGGAAGGCTTTAGGAGAGCAGTTGCGGGTTTGAAATACTTGCTGTGAGGAACGAATGCGAGCCAACCGGAGAGGCCTGGGAATGTGGCTGCAGAGAGGTGCTGAGTGGGCAGAGCTGACAGAAGCCTACACTGGCGCCAGTCCCATAGTGGCGGGTGCATTTGGCTGGTGAGCACAGAGCACAGGGCTGTTGGGGTTTGCTTTGTGGGTGACCACACGTTTTGGAGAAATCTGATAGTCTGGAGGGGTGTTTTTGTTGGTTTGTGTTTTGTTTTGTCTGTTTTTAATTTTTTTTTGACTGCACTGCATGGCATGCAGGATCTTAGTTCCCCAGTCAGGGATTAAACCCATGCCCCCTGCAGTGGAGGTGTAGAGTCTTAACCACTGGACCACCAAGGAATTCCCATAAAACCTCCCAAGGAGGTTTTAGTGAAACTGATGGAGTCTCAGGTAGAAAGCCAGAGAAGAGAATAATTGGATTTAAGACTTCAGGGGGTGGAATCTTTTTTCTAATTATGCCAAGGTCTGAAGAGTGGGCGAGGCCCTAAGGTGTGGGTGGCCTCAAGGGAAATAAAGGGGAATAAAGGAGAAGGCATTGGTATCTGGGAGCTGCCCGAACTAGAGAAGTAATGGTAGACAGTGGAAGGATCTCAACTAACCCAGATCATGTCAGTGGAGGGGGTCTGGAAGAGGGTTGGTGGGGAATGCCATTTCAGAGGGAATGTGGTGAGAAGGGAATCTGTGAAGGGCTGAGGAATGTGAGCGTGGGTGGTACGGCCCAGCAAACTGAGATGGGAGCAGGCCACACCTTCTCATGGGTCTGGAGGCACTTTGGGGCTGATGGATTAGATGTATATTTTTGCTGTACTGGCAGATTTTAGTTTTTGTAGCAGAGATTGTATGATCCACAAGCCTAAAATACTCAATGTCTGACCCTTTATAGAAAAAGTTTGTCAATCCTTGGTCTAGGTAAAAAATGAAACAAAACCATGAACTCATTACAAAGCAACAAAATGACAGTTTAAATTTCTCAGTACATAAGAATTTTGTGTGTATTTGGTAAATACTTATCAACTTAGTAGAAGATGGATTTGAGTTGTAGAGTTTCCATAGGTGGGAATGAGTGGATGAAAACTTGTTCAAGCAAAGAAATCCTAACAAAATGATCTGAAGAACCATTAGCCTTGGAGATGAAGATAGGAGAGTGAATTCCACAGCGATTTAGTTGCAGTAGTTGAGGAAGAAAAGAATTAGACCTCCAAATCAAGGTGACCTACCTTCCCCAGGACACTGGGTTTCCAGTGCTAAAACTGGACAAATGAAATAGTTGGTCGTGCTACTCTCATTAGCAGCCTGTGAGGTTATTGTGGTTGGTTAAGTGTATTTCTTTCTCACTGCTCAAGTGTGCACTCTCAGAAGTTTAGATTCAATCAGAGGGAGAATTATTTATTAATTGGGTCTAGGTGTCTGTGCTGTTTTTATAATGAAGGAATAAAAGTTCCTCCCTTTAGTAAAGGAGCTGTCCAGCTGAAGGGTCAAAAACATTAGAAATAAAGAAACTCAAAGGTTAAGTGGTGTGATACAGAAAGAGGAGTTAGTGAAACTCAGGGTAGGGTCAAATTAATTGAAGACTCATAAAGGTCAAATTGAGCCTCGAAGATTGGTCGGAATTTGTAAACTCTAACCAAACTCTTGCTGGAAGTAGGACTTTGAGTCTGCTCCTTAGAATACGGATTTGGGGATAAGAAGAGGTTGTATCTAAACACCATTTGGATCTCGTTGCCCAGGGGTCTGTCCTCCAGCCTCAGCAGATGAGACTTTTGAGCATCACCTTCAGCGACTGAGAAAACTCATTAAAAAGCGCTCTGAACTCTATGAAGCTGAAGAGAGAGCCCTCCAAGTTATGTTAGAAGGAGAACAAGAGGAAGAGAGGAAAAGAGAATTAGAAAAGAAACAGAGGAAAGAAAAAGAGAAATTTTTACTTCAGAAGCATGAAATCGAGTCCAAGTTATTTGGGGATCCAGGTAAGTTCCTCTGTAGCCAGTAGAGAAAAGAAAAATACTAGATTGACAACTCTTTTGCTCATGGATGATCTCCACCTAAGCTAAGAGGTGGTAGACGACAAGTGACACGTTTAGGATTTGAATTCTAAACGATATCCTGGAAATCAGGGATGATGGTGAGACACATTTGATCATATTATATAATCATAGAGTAAGTCACTTTGCCTTGAGAAATACGCTCTACACGCTAAGCATGATGACACGGCATGGTGCGTTTTCTTTTTCAGATGAGTTCCCGCTCGCTCATCTCTTGCAGCCTTTCCGGCAGTATTACCTCCAAGCTGAGCACTCCCTGCCAGCACTCATCCAGATAAGGTCAGAGGGGCATTGTCCACGTCTTCTTTCCTTTAGGTAGCAACAGGCAGTGCTTATGTTGTTGGGGTCTATTACTATATCTTTTTTTTTAGTTCTTATGCATTTATGTAATGTTTCTAAGTTTGAAGGATGCCGCTTACATCTTGTTTAGTCCTCATCAACTCTTGAGAAGTACATGTCCCTTAATCTGCAGTTACTAATGAGCTGGGTAAAGTTTTTAGCTCTGAGCCTCACTTCCCCTACCTGCAAGGTGCAAATGGAAGATTAGACTGTGGCCTTCAAATGTGAACAGTAGTACCCTCCCAGATGCAGTCTTTTGAGAAATCAGTTTGTATAACAGAATGAATGAATGGGTTCCATGGGCAGCTTAAATCTGTTAGTGACTGGAAGCACCTTGTTGTTTCTAGACTCCCCAAAGCATCTCCTTGAATCTAAGGGTCTTCAAAGCCCAGTTTGAAAAACTGCTGAACCAAGTGATCTTTGAGGATCCTTCCAAAGGTCCAACAGTGGTGTTCAGCAGTGTTCTGGGAAAAGTGTATTTGTGGCTAATATACAAGTTTTAGCCTTTAAATATATTACAGTTGATTCTCGTTATTCATAGGAGCTGTATTCTATAAAGCTGCAAATGCTGAATTAGAGGATGTTGAACTGCTGCTCCTAAAGGAAAAGTAGAATTAGATTCCTGTGAGCCTCTGGCCATAACATTTCATCAACCAATCAATATATAAATTTTTTTTCTTTTTTTTAAAGACACCTTGTTTAATATATATTTTTGATCCTTTAACATTGAACTCATTAACATATAACTTATGCCTGAAGGTAGCTTATCTAACATACATCTATTCTCCATAAGGCATATTGCAGCCTTCTCATGCTAGCTTTAGCACTCTAGCACTATACTTGGGAGCCATTTTAAACAAGGAAATGCCAATAAAAGGCACAAAAATGTGAAGAATGTTGTCCTAAATAGACTACAGAAAGGACACTTGTTTACAACAGGAGAGCTGAAAACAAGGAGGCAGAGTGTCACCGTGTTCCACTGCAGTGGGGAACACGCCCTTTGGTGGCTCAGGTTTTTCACTGCTCTGTGCCTGTCAGCGGGTAACCATGGAAGCACCATGAGTAATGATTTGGGAGGTTACACATAAATTTTAGTGAGTAGGCAAATTTGCAAATACAGAATCTGTAAATAATGAGGATTGACGCTATATTCATTATTTGGTTATCCATAAAATACAAGTTCTTTGGAGTTTTTTTCCCCATTTGTATGTACATTAGGAAGCAGTCTTTTGCATTATTTCTAGAAATTAAGTTCTTTAGTGGATTCATATCAGTCATTTGAAAGCAGAGTCCTGAAATAGAATACTTAGTTGCTAACATCTTGCTTGGAATAAAACAGAAATAAACAGTTGTTCTACAATGTTCTTATTAAGGCATGATTGGGATCAGTACCTGGTGCCATCTGATCATCCCAAAGGCAGCGCCATTCCTCAAGGATGGGTCCTTCCTCCGCTCCCCAGCAACGACATCTGGGCAACCGCTGTTAAGCTGCATTAGTAAAGATGCTCCAGGAGTGTCATCCAGCCAAGACTCTTTTCCAGCTCGAAGTATCAGTGATGCTGGCGTCTTGTACAGTAGACCAGACTCCATGTGGCATTGCCCTACCCAGAAGTTATATTTTTCTTCTGTCCTCTGTCTCAGCCAGAGGTGCCTCTTGAATCAGGAGATTAATACGATTCTTCAAGAAAGGACCTAGGTGGACTGAGGTTATCGTGACAGGCAGTGGCCTTGGTTCACCGAATTTGCCTCTGTTTTGAGGGGCTTCATCCAGAGTGACTTGCAAGTTTACTCGTACCTTTCTTGCATGGTAATGGGTAAGTACACTATACACACATATCCACGACACAGGTGTGCTCTGGGTAGATTAGCAGTCCTTCCCCCAGGACCGCTTGTTAAGGCAAGCTTGATGCAAAATCTCCTTACCTTTCTTACCCAAAGACCCCCCTAACTTCCAGGAAGAAAAGTCAGGAAGGCTTTATCTTCAGTTTTGTGAATTCTACTTTTGATGCAGCTGGAGAGGCTAGGCTGCCAGAAAAGCTGGTGGCCTCACTGCTAGTCATGTGGAGAACTTGGAAGGCCTGCAGAGTACTTGTATCCAAACTGGATTGTGTTTTAATGGGTGCTGGCTGCATTTCCCCCATGTCAGAAGGATCCTAATGAAAGCACCTGCTTTTTAAGTTCCTAAAGGTCTGGTTGTTCAGAATCCCCAGCGATAAAAATTAATTTCCTTATAGGATTGGGACCCTGATTAACTTTACTCAGTCACCCTGTGGGAGCCGGTATAGTGGAAATTGTGGAATTTTCTTAAGAACTCAAGCTTCCAAGAATACACATGTAGTTGAAGTGAGGGACAGGGGGAAAGTGGATTGAAATGATAAAGTTTATTTTTTATATTCATTAATAAATGCTGTTGTGCCTGGAGATAATCAATCATATAACGTCAGGTTTTTTTGTTTGGTTTGGTTTTCCTTTTTTGTCATTTATTGTGTTATTTCCAAAAAGCTAAATAAATATTGTTTTTATTTTTTAGTTTGAGCCTTTGCCCTCAATTTGTTGCCTCCCAGTTGACTGCACACTCTTTCTCACTGCTGAAACACACACACGTTATAAAGTTCACATTTAGTAACTAGGCATTTGCTCCAGGAAGGCAAACCTCAAACACCAGACTTTGTATGTGGAATCCAGCTCTGGATAAGCAGGAAAGGACACCTCAACTTTGGAGGTGATTTCATGTAATTGGAAGCATTTGGGTACAAGATACTAACTAACACATTTGTCCCTTTTTCTTTCATTTGCACTGTTAAGTTTCTATATTATGCATTACAGAGTTAACAGGGTGTGAGAGCAGTCACTCCTCCAAAGTGTGTCTAAACTCATAAGCCTCAGAATCTGACACGATCAGGCTCATATCACCCCACAGGCCTGTGTGCCCTTTTGTTATAAAGCTCCATTTTCTGGTGAGCTGCAGGACAAGTAGAAATACAAGATGAATTGTACAATACATATTTGGTTCCAGAGAGCCTTGCTTCGAAGATACCTGCATTGATGGGCTTAGGGAGTGTGGAGCCGGGACTAAGGAAAACTCAGGCAGCGGGACCCAAGCAAAAGAAGACAGTTTCAGGTGGAAAAAACAATTCCCTTGTTCCTCTCATTCAGCTTCTGCAAAGTTTTAATAAAGTGAGCATTGTTTTTGTTACTTGTTTGGTTTTTTGTTTTGTTAAGTTTTTCCTAGTTTATTGTCCTGTGTTGTGGTGGTGGCAGCAGCCACTGGTACGTCATGAATTCAGGAAGAAGACTTAGTGTCTTTCACGAACTGTACTTCTGATAATATGGACAGTATCTCTGTAATCTTATCCCAGGTCTTCTTTTCTTTCTTTTTTTTTTAATTGTGGAAAATTTCAAACATTGAAAGGTAGACAGAGTGGTGTAATTTTTTTCATCATCTGGCTTCAAATAATGGTCAACTCCTGGCCAATCTTGTTTTATCTGTACCCCTACCAATCATACTGGACTATTTTGAAGCAAATCTCAGATGCCATATTACTTCATAAGTGTTTGGGTTCATAGCTCTAAGACATTAAAAAATTTTAACCACAGTGCTGCTATTGCACCTGAAGAAATGAATAACTCATTGCTGCTGCTAAGTCACTTCAGTCGTGTCTGACTCTGTGTGATCCCATAGACGGCAGCCCACCAAGTTCCCCCGTCCCTGGGATTCTCCAGGCAAGAACACTGGAGTGGGTTGCCATTTCCTTCTCCAATGTGTGAAAGTGAAAAGTGAAAGTGAAGTCGCTCAGTGGTGTCCGACTCTTAGCGACCCCATGGACCGCAGCCTACCAGGCTCCTCCATCCATGGGATTTTCCAGGCAAGAGTACTGGAGTGGGGTGCCATTGCCTTCTCTGGAATAACTCGTTAGTATCATTAAATATCCAGTCAGTGTTCAAATGATCTCATAAATGTGTGTTTTTGCATTTTGTTCCAAATCAAGATCTGGATGTAGTCTATGCATTGTTGTTAGTTAGTGTGTCTTAAATTTCTCATAACCTGTAGGTCTTCCCGTGTACTGTTGCACTTTCACTCTTTCGCTCCCTTGCAACTTATTACTTGAGGAAATCAGATCATCTTTTTTCTAAAGAGTTCCCAGTCTGGATTTCGCTAACTGTATCATTGTGATTACATTTTCCTCTGTTCCTGTATTTCTTATAACTTAATGATTAGACAGAATTGTACTGTAGCCATCTATGGCTGTTGGGCACTTGAAATTGAGTTTGAACTGAAGCCGAGTTTGACTTGAGATGTACAATTACATGTGTGGCTCATACATTTCTATTGGACCATGCTAGAGGTTTGATCACATTAAGATCAGAATTTTCTGGCACAAGTATATCATAGACCTGGTACTACATTCAGGAGGACTAATCAGTTGTCTCCTTTTGTGATTTTAGCAGCCATTTTTATTCAAGACCTAGACTCACTTATTTGGATTTGCAAAAGACTGACAGTTTAATTGTGCCCTTCTTTCTTTTACTTCAGCTGGAATATTAAAAGGAGAAGCATCACCTCATCAACTATTTGATTACACAGGACCACAATTTGTATAGGAAAGGCAAAAAATAGACACATGGTTTTATTTACTAGTATTCAAAATAATGAGTTGCATCCTCTAAAAGTTACTAGTAAATTTTGTTTTTAAGTGTCATTATGAATTTGGATCTAAGTGGATTTTTCTTTCAATCCATTGCTATTATTTTTCATTGATTGCCTCATGTTTGGCCAGTGGGAGCCTCTTTAACTCCAATCCTGAGTTCGCACTCAATCCCAGTATTCTGTTCCAAGTTTACCTTATAGGTGTAGCCTATACTGGGCTTCCCAGGTGGTGATAGTGGTAAAGAAGCCACCTGCCAATGAAAGAGACATAAGAGATGTGGGTTTGATCCCTGGGTCGGGAAGATCCCCTGGAGGAGGAGTGGTAGCCCACTCCGGTATTTTGGCCTGGAGACTCCCATCGATGTAGGAGCCTGGTGGGCTACAGTCCAGTCCTCCATAGGGCTGCAAAGAGCAGGACACGACTGAAGCAACTTGCCACACAGCACAACTTAGCATGCAGCATATAGCCTATATTCTCTATGTTAAAAGGAGAAGCATCACCTCATCAACTATTTGATTACACAGGACCACAATTTGTATAGGAAAGGCAAAAAATAGACACATGGTTTTATTTACTAGTATTCAAAATAATGAGTTGCATCCTCTAAAAGTTACTAGTAAATTTTGTTTTTAAGTGTCATTATGAATTTGGATCTAAGTGGATTTTTCTTTCAATCCATTGCTATTATTTTTCATTGATTGTCTCATATTTGGCCAGTGGGAGCCTCTTTAACTTCGATCCTGAGTTCCCACTCAATCCCAGTATTCTGTTCCAAGTTTACCTTATAGGTGTAGCCTATACTGGGCTTCCCAGGTGGTGATAGTGGTAAAGAAGCCACCTGCCAATGAAAGAGACATAAGAGATGTGGGTTTGATCCCTGGGTCGGGAAGATCCCCTGGAGGAGGAGTGGTAGCCCACTCCGGTATTTTGGCCTGGAGACTCCCATGGATGTAGGAGCCTGGTGGGCTACAGTCCAGTCCTCCATAGGGCTGCAAAGAGCAGGACACGACTGAAGCAACTTGCCACACAGCACAACTTAGCATGCAGCATATAGCCTATATTCTCTATGTATTGAGCATAAATAAATGAAAATAGAGAATTAAATCCTTCAAAGACTAATCAGAAATGTGTTGATTCATCATGTCCTATATAGAAGAAATTTATTTATCTTGACAAATTAACAGGAGACACTAGATTTGTGAGAAACTCTAACAAGAGCATTTAAGAAATTAGATGAAGTACAGGGAAGATTGGAAAATGAAAGAGATTAGTTGTATGTTAAATACTGAGAGTGTTCAGTGGGAGTGCCAGAGTTTATGACGTCAAAGAATTTGCTATAGCCAACCAATTTAATCACTCTAAAGCCATTCATGCTCCTTTGTCCACGTGATTTTTGTGCAAGGATAATCGAGAAGCTTAGCTGGGATTATACCATCTGTTGTAGCAATTTACTTCTACAAATTTTGTCCTCAGAGAAGCTATCTTGGGAATTACAAGGTAAGTGCAAAGTATGTCTTATTCCATTCAAATAAGAATAATATATAGAAGGAGTGTGAATTCTGTGAAGTATTAGCTGTGACATAATTTAGGGAGTAGAGATTACATGAAGCATTTCCCACTAATTTTTTTAAAAAAATTACTTATAACCAGCTATTCCCACACAATTAACTGTTTACTTTTGGGTGTACCCATGAGTAGTTTCTGACTTGCTAACCTGACTATCCGTGAAGAATTTGTTTCCAATGAAGGTTCCATTTTCCTTTTGGAATAAGCTGGGTTTTTCATAGTCTCTGAAGCAAAGATTGAAGTCTTGGAGGCAATTGGGCTTAGAATGGGTAACTACGAAGAGCAGCAGACACTTTTCAACTTCATTAACTTATTCTTGCCAGAATCTGGTTACCAGGATTTAAATGGTGTTCTTGGGAAATTATTATTTACCATTTTCCAGGTACAATGTTAAATGCTGGAGACATAAAAAGGGGACACACATAGGATCCCTACCCTCCTTCAGTTAGTCTAGAGTAGAGAAGTCTAGTGATTATACAAGATAATTGTAGTCAGTTGTAATTGTGATATGCACTACAAAATAACAGTATTAAGACACAAATTTATAGTTTTCATTGTTCAAAATTTTTTAAGTGCCTGTTGATGCTCAAATAATTTGCTAAGTACAGGGGCTATAATGGTGAGCAAAATACCAAATACTCCTGAATGCGTATAGCCTATAAAGGAGGTAGATATTCACCCAACAATAAAAAAATGGGCCAAGTGCTTTGAAGGAGAATATGGTTCCCCCTCTTTTTCCCCCCTAAACTGAGTGTTCTGTAATGCTTTCAGGTGAAATAATACAAAATATCTATGTGTCACATAGTAAGTGTAACAACTATCATTTAATTTATGTATGTATTTACTAGGTTACAAAGTCAAATGTATTTCATTCCATGGGTCACAGTAGAAAAAAAATCTTGAAAGCCACTGTACTAGTGGGACCAATTCAAGTTTGGGGATTAGGGAAAGCTTTTTGGGGAACATGATGAGCTCTGAAGATTTAGCTAGTGGGAAGAGACGAAGAGGAACATTGCAAGTATCTGGAATAGTGTATGTAAAGACCCTTTGTGGGGCTGAGAGGGCAGTGCAATTGAAGGCCCGCATGGTGAGAATAAGACGGCAAGCGAGGGAGTAGGGGCCAGACGCTGCAAGGCCTTGGAATTCCTTGTCAGGAGCTTGATTTTGTTCTGAGAGTAGGGGGGAACCATTGGAGGCGTTTAAACATTGGAATGGCTTGAAATGATCAATTTCATCCCAGTGTGTGTAATAGAATGATAAGGCATGAGAAGATACAGGGACACCTGTTGTCCAAGTGAGAGAGGAAGGGGCTCAGATTCCCATGGCAGCAGTGGGGGTAGCATGAAATGGCTCGATTCCAGAGATTTAGGAGAGAAAATCCAGTGGGAATTTGAGATGGGTGGCGGTGAAGGGGAAGAAAGTGTTGGGGATGAGTCCCAAGCTTTTGTGTGTATCTTAGACATTTCTTGAGACAAGGAATCCTGGAGGAAGAGGAGCATTTTGGGGGAGGGGGACATCCGAGTTTATCTTGGGTGTGTAAAGTTTGAGGCACCCTTGAGACATCATGAAGGAGATACCTTGTAGGCAGTTACATTTATAAGTTTGATCTTAGAAGGGCCTAACTGGAGAATTTCATGTGTGAGTACTGGCACATAGATTATTGAAGCTGTGGGCAAGGATGAAGTCATTTTGAGAGTATAGTGGAGACCTATAATACTAATATCATTGCTGGGGCTCCATGTAGATCAATTACTGTGATCCCTATCACCCAGCCCCTAGCCCCAGGCTCAGAAACAGCCACATGGGCACAGACCCATGAACTGATGTTGGAAAGGGCCTGGGTTATGCAGTTTGTCAGAGCAGGCATAGACCAGCTTGCTTATTATCCCCCTTTCCCACCCTCACCCCACCTCTTCACATCCCTTCAGGGCTTTCTCCACTGCTTACTGAAAGGTGTTAGCACTCAGCCCAAGTTCAGCACCCTCCCCAGCTCCACCTCAGCACACTCCTTCAGTCTTCCTGCAGACTACGTCTCAACACAAACCATACACTGGACTCAAGCAGCTTGCTTCCCTCTCTCTCTGCCCTGCCCCTGCTCCCTGGCTTAAGCTCTTCTCTCCCTGGAGTTGTGTGCTCTCTCTACCTCACCTTCCCGCTGCTCCATAGGCTTTCCTCCCACCCTCCAGGGTTCAGATCAAGTCCTATTGTTTCTGAAGTTTCCCCAACCCCCATAAGGACTGGAGTACTCCCCTTCCTCTGAAGAATATCATCACTTAATGATCTGTGCCTCTTATTTTGTATTTAGCAGAGTGACTGTCATTTTAGAATATGGTCTAACTAGATCATGTCTTATATTGTAGTCCTGGCTGCTAGTAAAATGTGCTTCCAGAATCCTCAAACTCTTAAAGAACTCCAGAAGCAGGTACAGTGCTGAGAACATCATTAGGATACAGATGTTGGAGTGGAGGGAAGGAAGCAGGGAGCTCTATGCTTGCTCATTGGATGCGCAGTTCACACTTGGGTCTCAATGAACTGTGGTCCTTCCCCATAGTTAAAAATTCTAATGATGGTCAAAAATGTAAACAATAAATCTGAGACTGCCAAAACTTCCTCACTTTCTTGTGTCCTCTGCTAACGCAGCTAAGTCACTTCAGTCATGTCCGACTCTGTGCCACCCCATAGACGGCAGCCCACCAGGCTCCCCCATCCCTGGGATTCTCCAGGCAAGAACACTGGAGTGGGTTGCCATTTCCTTCTCCAATGCATGAAAGTGAAAAGTGAAAGTGAAGTCGCTCAGTTGTGTCTGACTCTTAGCGACCCCATGGACTGCAGCCTACCAGGCTCCTCCGTCCATGGGATATTCCAGGCAAGGGTACTGGAGTGGGGTGCCTTCTCCGTCATGTGTCTCCTACAACTCCTTATATCTCAAAGGTCCCCTGTAGGAAGGGTTGGTGGGGTAGATTACTTAGTGATCACACTGGAAGCTGTCTGATCCTATAGTATGAAGACTCACTCCCAGTATGCTGGGAGACTGTCCCCCAACATGGGGTGCAGAAGCCTTTGAGCCTTCCGTACAGTAAAGACAATGACAAGAGAGGGCAGACAGCAGAAATGAGGGAATTAAAGGATTTGCCCATCTGGCCTCCTTTGACCTCTATGCCCTCAGATTATCCACTCTTCCTCTTCACAGGATGTTCTCCTGTATGTATGGGGATGACCCCAGTGACCCCGAACAGCAGGACTTTGAAATCATCCTGATAGGGATGATGTTGTATTGATCCAGAGATACTCCCTGGTAAACCCTGATTGTTTGCAAAATTCCTGTGGTCAGGGGTCTAGATTTAAGTGTATATTATAGGCAGTCATGAAATTGAATTCTGTATGAATGAATTTTGCTTTTTTTTTTTTAATGCAACTGCATTTAATGTGGTCCAAAATATGTAAAAAAGCAAATCCCTGGCTGTTGTATTGTTAAACTGATACTGCACTTGATCTTAACCAAATGGTTCAGTGGCTATGTGTGAATTTAAAATTTTTAGATTTCAGCTTAGCAGATATTGTTGACTAATATTAATTGACTTTCTCATCAACAGTGCATGAGAGTTCCAGATGTTCTACATCATCAACACTTGATATTGTCAGGTTTTTAAAAATTTTAACTCTTCCTCTGTGTGTGTGTGTAGTGATATCTCATTGTTTCATTTTGGAGTTCCCTGATGGCTAATGAGGTTAAATAACTTACATGTTTATTGGCTATTTTGATGTCCTCTTTTGTGAAGTACCTGTTAAAAATCTTGTCTACTTTGGGATCTTTTTCTTATTGATTTGTAGAAATTTTTTTATTTTGGATATGAGTCCTTTGTCAGATATGTGTAGTACAAATATCTTCTTCCTCTATGTGATTTGCTTTTTCACTCTCTTAACGGAATGTTGTGATGAGTGGAAGTTCTTAACTTTAATGTAACCCAATTTATCAGTATTTCCTTTATGATTAGTCTTTTTTTGTAACATTTTACAAAATGTTTGCCTTTTCTAAGATCATAAATATATTCTCCTATTTTATCTTCAAGTTTTTTTCATAACTGTTCACATTTAGGTTTACAGCCTACCTGAAATTGATTTTTGTTTGTTATGAGCTTGAGGTCAAGACTTTTTTGGAAAATATCCAATTGATCCAGAACCGTTTCTTTAAAAAGACCTTCATTTTTCTACTGCTCTGAAGGGCCAATTTTGTCATAAATCAAGGATCTGTATATGTGTGGATCTGCTTCTAGACTATCTTTTCTATTCTGTTGGTCTCTTTGCAAACTCTCAATGTCACACTGTATTAATTGCTTTACAACATAACATACTCTTCCTTTGGATTTTCTACATATAAATATGTCATCTAGAAATAATGGTAGTTTTCTTTCTTTCCAATCCTTATACTTTTTTTTTTCCCCTCTCTTTTTGCACAGGCTAGTACCTCCAGGGCAGTGTTGAATAGAAGAGATGAAGGGGACATCTTTATTTCATTTCCAATATTGGGGAAATCTTGTAATATTTCACCATTAAGTGGGATGTTTGTTTTAGATGTTTTAGAGACATTCTTTGTTAGGTTAATGAAATTCCCTTCTATTCTTAAGTTGCCAAATAGAGTTTGTTTACTGTTTCTTAAAATCATGAATGTATACTGATTTTATCAAGTGCTTTTTCTGCATCATAATTATACATTTTAAAATTTTTATCCTATTGATATTTATCTTTATTCCCACTGATTATTTTTAGGATGTTAGACCTGTCTCTCATTCCTGAAATTAAACTCAACCTGGAAGTGTTGTAGTTTTTCTATCCATAATTATTTTTTTTGTAAGATTTTTGCATTTATGTTCACAAAATGTCTGCCTCTGATTTTCTTTTCAGGTTTGGTTTTAAGGTGATGCTGAAATCAAAACAAGTTAGGACATATTCCTTTTTTTTTCCTTCTCTTTCGGAAGAGTTCTAATTTGATAGCTCTTTTTCACCATTGGGGTGAATACTCTTGACGAAATCCTTTAGAACTAGTGTTGTAGACCATGTTTTGGGAAACAGTGGTCTAGAGAGCAAGACTTAAACATGAAAAAATCAATTGCTGTCAGCTTGAAGGCTCTTTTGTTTTATTCACTTTTCCTCCCTTATGCAGCACAAGTCACTTCACCTTTCCCCTGGCTGTGTGGGGCTCAGCCAAGTCACCACGCAGGAGAGCAGTGAGCCATCTGAGGCCTGAGCCTGGTCCTCAGGGACTTGCTCTTTCCAGCCCTGCGCAGCCATCCCCACACTCCTCTGACAGAATGAATGCCCTGGATGACGTCCCCTTCAAGGTGCCCAAGGGCTTTGTGATAGACACAGAGCCCCACCCTGGGCCAGATCTCAGTGTTCCAGACTGCAGGGAACTCCTGCTGGGTTCTATGGTAAGTGCCTCTCTCTGTCTATCTTCTCATCGCTGGGTCTGTGGGTCTGATGCTGAGCCTCACGAGGCCCCTTGTTCCTTGATTTTATATGGCAGCCACTCCTGTTCTGATATATTCTAGTAAGTGTGAAAACAACCCAAGAGGAAAAGATATTCCGTGAAGAAGTCTGGAGACTTGGTCATGGGGCTATTTAGTGCATCTTAAGTTTAGAATAACCAGAAGGTTGCTTATATGGAGTTACTGAGAGTCCTAGCAAGGATATTCCAATTCCAATTCCTCTCTTTTCTATCAGCCTACTGCCAAGTCTAAAATTCCACTGTTAGAATCACTCCACTGGGCTAAGACGCTATCTTGAGATTAAAACGCAGACAGTTACACAGGACACGTTAGAATGGATTACTGTCCCACAGACCCACCTCTCCATGGGGCAGCTTTGATGCACCCTTGTCCCATGGCTCACACCCTGGGGTGTGCCCTCAGTGTGTGTGGTGGTATCACATACCCTCAGGATAAACATGATTATTTCACTTCCACGTGAGTCAAATTTATTTGAAGACTTAGGAGGAAACCTATTGCATTTGTATTACAACACAGATATATAATGAGGTAGAAAGCAAAATTCACATGAATTTTAAAAAATGAAAGAGAAGGATTGCAAACAGCTGTGGAGCTGGTGGTGGATCTTTTAGGACTGAGTCCTCGGGATCTTGTGTGCTCATTCAGCACTGTCTGCGGGCTACTTGATAGGAAAATTTGAGGATCTAGTTCAGCTCACACTCACTTTGCACATGAGGAACCTGAGGCTCAGAGAAGGGAAATGATCTGTCCAAAGATAGTGGCAATGGTGGGTCTAATTCCCAGGTCCTGGGCTTCCCTGTGGTCTGGTGGTTAAGAATTTGCCGTGCAATGCAAGGGACACTGGTTGGATCTCTGGTCCAGGAAGAGCCCATATGCCAGGGAGCAACTAAGCCTGTGATCCACAATTACTGAGCCCATGTGCAGCAACTACTGAAGTGTGTGCACTTGAGAGCCTGTGCTCTGCACCAAGAGAAGCCATCTGCACACCACAGGTAGAGAGTAGCCCCAATTGCTGCAACTAGAGAAACCCTGCTCAGCAATGAAGACCCAGCAAGCCAAAAATAAATGAATATGTCAAGTTTAAAAAGTAAAACCCAGATCTTGATTCTAGATCACTTCATGATAGCTCAGAGAAGGACTGGCAAGTGAGAGACATCAGACACATAATGTTCGAGGGCAAAAAAATACAGGGTTATGGGAAGTTAGGTGCAGAGAAACCAGTCCAGGAAGGAGAGGCCTGGAGAGGGTCAGGTAGAGAGGCTTGAGTAGCTTGGAGGCACAGGAGCAGGAGACTTCATCTGCAGCCCCTGGAGTTGCACTTAAGTTCCTTAGGACCCAGACGTGAAATAAGCTTCGTAAAGCCCCGAGTACAGTGTTCAGGGGCCCCACTCTGTGCGGCAGGAGCGCGGGCTTTCCCCAGAGAACCTGTGTTGTGGGCCCTCACTCTGGCAGTAAGGCCTGTATTGCTGGGAAAAGCAAATTGCTTTACTAAGCTCCAGTGGAGGTAGACAGACTACCATAACTATTCCCTCTCTGCTAAGCCAGGAGGATGCTATTCTGAAAATTACTTCTCCTAGAAGCAGAAATAGGTAACCTTCTGCCAAGTCTATGTCTTCTGTCCCAGCCCACGTCTTGGCTCTGGCCCTGCCTCCTGTTCTCAGGGTGGGCACTCCACACCCACTCATCTCCCTTGAGCCTATTTCCCTTCCTGAGTCTCCATTTCTTTCACTGCTGTGGCCAGCTATCAAAGAGAGAAGCATGGGACTCCACGTATGATTTATGGCCTCTCCTGGTCAGTCTTCCAAGTTTACTGGGCTATATTCCCAGTGTTTGGAACTTGAAACACATTTTCCCATAGCAACAATGTTATAGATAGTGGTTAGATTACCAGATGAATCTGTAGCGGCCTAAAAAAGAAAAAAAATACCTTCCATTCGTCGAGCACCTGCCATGTACCAGGGCCAGGCTACGTGCTCTTCATACATTCACCCTTCTCTCTCATTCTTATGACCCTTGTAGCAGGCGGGTGTTCCTTCCCCATGGCACAGGAAACCAAAGTTCCCACCCTTGTGACCAACAGGGCCGTGTGGCTGTGAGTGGCACAGCCAGGATTCCAACTTGAGCGTGTCAGTCCCCAAAGCCCACGTCCACCTCCTGCACCTATGGCTTTCCTGAGAAGCCTCGGCAAGTCTGTGTTTCGTTGTTTCATCATAGTCTTCCTTTAATTAGAGTTAATTTCCTTTTTGTCAGTTAAATTTTTTAGAAAGAATATATATATATATTCTTTCATACATATATGTATGTATATACATACATATTCATACACACACACACATATATATGTATGTATGTATGTATGTATAGAGCAAGGGTCAACAAACATTTTCTGTAAGGGGCCAGATAGTAAAAACTAGCAATCATTCAACACTACAATTGTAGGGAGAAAGGGCCATGGACATTACAGAAAGGAGTAAGTGAGTACGGCTGTGTTCCAATAACACTTTATTTAAAAAACAAGGTGGGAGGTCCGTTTGACTCCCAGGCAGTTTGCCTGTTCTAAGAGAGTGAAAAGCCTTCCACTGACACTTCCTTATCTGTCCTGTCACTACCTGCCCTGGTAACTTCTGTTACTTGTATTTTAAACTGTATTCTTCTGGAGAGTCTTATGTGTGTACATACAAGCAAACACTGCTGTTTCCTCCTTTTCCACACCAAAGGTAGCATTTTCTATACATTATTCTTCTTGATTTTTTTTTCACTTAACATATTTGAAGACTTTCCATATCAATACAGAGAATGCTTCTTCGGTACTGCATGGTATTGTGTTATAAGGATATATTGTACTTTACTGAATGAATCCCCTCTTGATGGACACCTAGGTTCTTCCCAGTCTTTTGTCATTACAAGCAATGCCGCAGGGAAAGACTATATGCAGATGTCCTTTTGGATTAAATCATATTGCCAAATTGCCCTCCATAAGGGTTATACTGTTTTATATCCAACCAGCACCCTACAAGGGCTTCCCAGGTGGTGCTGCTAGTGGCTAAGAATCCACCTGCCAATGCAGGAGACATAAGAGACGCAGGTTCGATCCCTGGGTCGGGAAGATCCCTTGGAGCTCTTGCATGGCAACCTACTCCAGTATTCTTGCCTGGAGAATCCCATCGACAGAGGAGCCTGGTGGGCTGTGGCCCAGAGGGTCACAAAGAGTTAGACACAACTGAAGTGACTTTAGCATGCACAGCACTCTACAGTGGGCTTACACCTCAGCTGCAGTCCTCAACAAAGGAGTCATCAGATGTTGCATCTTTGCTGAGGGATAGGCAAATGGTATCTCAGTATAGTTTTATTTTCCTTTCTCTTGTTACGAGTGAGATTGAGCAGCTTTTCATGTGTTTAAGAGCCATCTGTAGTTGCTTTTCTGTGGACTGTTCATATCTTTTGTTCATTTCCCTGTTGGGCTGTTGGTCTTTTCTTATCTATTTCTAGGCACTCCTATGTTTGAGTTATCAGTGCTGTTTTCCCGCTAGTTTGGTATTTGCCTTTGACCTTGCTTATGGGGTGTATTTGCCAGGCAGATTTTCACATGTGCATGTGTGTACTCTCACAGCTTCTCAATTTCAATTCAGAGTGAGAAATGTTTTCCTTACTTGAGATTATAAAGGATTTCTCTCCTCTTTTCTGCTAGTACTTTTATAATTTCATTTCAAACAACTGAATCTTTGATCCTTTTGGAATTTCCCCTTGTGTATGATGTGAGAATGGATCCAACTCTATTTTCTTTCTGCTGACTAACACCATTTATTGACCAGTGCCTCTTTTTTTCCCATTACTTGAGATGCCACCTTATTATCTACTAAAGTCCCATAGATAATGTCCATTTCTGGACCTTCTGTTCTTTACCTTTAGGCTATCTGTGCAGTACCTTAGCTTTAATTATTGAGGTTTTATAATATATATTAGCAACTGGCAGGGCCAGTCCCCTTTATTTCTCTTTTTGTCACAGAGGTTTTTAGGCTATGCTTTTTGTTGGGTGTGTCAGAGCAGGGGGCTGTGCTGGGTCTTTGCTGCTGTACAGGTTTTTCTCTAGTTTCGGTGGCAGGCTGCTCATTGCAGTGGCTTCTCTTGTTGCAGAGCACGGGCTCTAGAGTGTGCAAGCTTCAGTAGTTGTGGCCTGTGGGCTCAATAGTTGTGGTACACAGGCTTAGTTGCTCCAGGGAGTGTGGGATCTTCCTGGACCAGGAATCGAACCCATGTCTCCTGCATTGGCAGGTGGATTCTTTACCATTGAATCACCATGGAAGCCCTTGGCTATTATTTGTTTATTTTTCATATGAACTTTAGAATCATCTTGCTTAGGTTCCACAGATCACAAGTGCTGGTGTTTTTATTGGGTCTTTGGATCATTTTATCCCCTAAGTTCCACTGTCTGTTTCATTACCTCTCAGTCTCTTTCCCTCCATGATGGTTTCCTCAGCTCTGAAGTGGTCTTTTCCCTTCCTCTGTCCCTCCCAACCCACTCATTTTCCTCCAGTCTCTTTTTATAACCATTTATTCTGTACACTCTTACAAATATCCCCTCGGAGCCAGAACTGCCCTGGGCCCCAAGAACGGAGAGAAATAAGATACACTCCCTGACCTCAGTCGGGGAACCACACTTAGAACAGCTACGTTCTGTTCTTCTCCCCAGCTTAGGGTCATGTCAGGAGTAGAGTGAGGGGAGAGGCAGTTCCTGTCTGCCTTTCTGCCTCCCACCCCCACCCCCCCGCACCTCACCCCCCCAACCACTCCCCCAGGCTTACCTGGCCATCAGAGAGCACTGAAGTTGCCTTTTAAGAATATTTATATTTTTTAATGAAGTTTTATATTTCCAGTTCTTAATTTTAATAGTAGTTAATGGGAATATTTTATTTTTGCTTCACATAAACTCTCAATTTAGATTATGTGGGCTCCACATTTATTTTTTAGGTGGCTTGATCAGTCAGATGGACAGGAAGCCCAGCTCATCTACTCATCACTGATCTGACCTCAAGCAAACTAAATTTCCTGGGCCCCCTGATAATCTGGAAATGGGAATCACATTAGGACAACTAAGTAGAGTTCAGGAAAAAAAAAAAAAAAACGAATGATTTTTACATTTTCTGGGCCCCTGGAAGGCAGCGAACGGGATGGGGGCAAGTACTGCTCCATGCAGAGGTTTGTGTGTCTGGGCTGGCCTCCAAGGCCAGCTGCTCAGTGGTAAATGGTGCTAGACTCAAGTGAGAGCTTCTTGGTGAAGGACAAGTTTTGTTGAAATTAAAAAAAATTGTTTTTGGCTGCACTGGGTCCCTATTGGGTTGTGTGTGGGCTCTATGCGCTGCATTCATGAGCTCTCTAGTGGCAGAGCCTGCGGGCTCAGTAGTTGCGGGTGCCCTGGCTTCTCTAGTTGTGGTCAACAGGCTGAGTTGCCCTCACTGGTATGTGGGATCCTACTTCTCCCACCGGGGATCCAATCCTCATTCCCTGCATTGGAAGGCAGATTCTCAACCACTGGACCACCGGAGAAGTCCCCTGGAGAAATTGTTTAGGCCACTGTTGTTCAATTATATGCTGAATGGCAAAGGGACTTAGACTTTCGTTCTATTAACCTACTCCTCACATTGTCCTGTCTACAGAGTTTGCTATTAAATTGTTATTGACAGTCATCCACTCCAATGCTAGCTAAAACCGAGGGTGAGGGTGGCCTGCGATGAATGCCTGGGGCTTAGAATCAGAAGCTGTCGATGCCTGGACAGTCTGTGGCTGAACAGGTTCCCCGAGGGCCAGGAGGTAGGGGTGTGCCCCCAGGCCCTGGTTTGCCTGGCGGAGCCTCCCCGGCCTTGTTTCCGCAGCACGACTTCAGCTTGGAGAGGAGGACACTCTTCTGGGTGGAGGCTGTCGTCCGGGGACCCTTCCCAGTTCACTGCGATGCTCCGGCGGCAGCTTCGGCCCCTCCTGCCTGGCTCTTGCTGGCTAGCCCCGAGCAAGGGCTGGAACCCGTGCCTGCTGCAGTTGAAGATCCGGAGGCCGGATCCCAGGAGCAGCCTGAGGAGGAGGAGGAGGAGGAGGAGGAGGACCAGGATGAGGAAGCAGCCTCTGCCGTGGAGGAAGAGCTGGAGCCCTGCAGCCCCCAGCCCAGCTCCGCGGCGAGCCCCCGCCTGGGCCAGCACCGGTGCTCGCTGGACGTGCTGCGCGGCGTGAGGTCGGAGCTGGCTGGGGCCAGGCGGCGGCTCTCCGAGGGCCGGCTCGCCTCCCACCCCCGCAGCCTCCTGCACCGCCTCCGCCACCGAGCTCTGAGCCTCTGCCCCGGCCCCGCGCCGCCCCAGGGCCCGCGCAGTGCTCCCACTCAGTCCCCGCCGTCCCCTGTCCCCAAGGCCTCGCTCCCCAGCGCCCTCACGCCGCCCTTGGGCCCCAAGCCGTCGCTCCCCAGCACCCCCGAGCTGCCCCCGCGGCCCTCCACGGCCGGCGCCATGCCCCCGCTGCGGAGCCACAAGCCCACAGTTGCGGTAAGGAACCTGCCCCCTTGGCCAAGGCCACAACTCAGCAGCGGGGCCCCCACATCTGGGTCCCCCGCCTGCTTGGACACCCCTCCCTACCAGCGCTTACCTGGCCCTGTACCACGCTGTCCTTCCTGCAGCCCTATGCCTAGAATATTCCCTGCTTCGAGTTCCCCTTCCTTGCTTCTCGCTGTGTTTCCTTCTTTGCTTCTGTTAGGGCACCTGTTAGGATAATTGTAATTACTCAGTATCTGTCTCTTCCAATGGAGTTAGATTTCTCTTAGGGCAGTGATTGGATTGCATTTGTCTCCAGAGCACCCAGAGCACACTTGGCCCATAGGGGGAGCTCAGTGAATGTCCGTTGAATCAATGAATGTGGCTCAGATCTAAGGCTTGCCACTGTTCAAGGATTGGGTGAGCTGGAGGCTCAATCAGGGAATATTCACAGCGCAGTTACTTCATGCAGGAAACTGGATTGGAAGAGACAAAGTCAAAAGCATGCAAGGAGATTGGCGAGGAAGGGTGAGACTGGGCAGCACTGCCCATTGGTGAGGAAGGGTGAGACAGGGCAGCACTGCCCAGGGGGAGGGATCAGGCACCGAGGGGGAGGTGAGGGCCGCTGCAGGCTGGGGCGGCTTCGGGACAAAGGATGTGCACCAAGAACTGGGAGCAGATGAGAACATAGAGTGAAATCGGTAAAGCTGAAGCTTCAGGTTTAGCTCCTCCCAAGGCTTTGAGCGTGTGTGCTCATTGCTCAGTCTTTCTTTGGGACCCCTCTGGACTGTAGCCCAAGGCCTCCCAGGTGGCGCTAGTGGTAAAGAACACGTCAGAGGTGTGAGAGACATGGGTTCTATCCCTGGTTCGGGAAGATCCGCTGGAGGAGGGCATAGCAACCTGCTCCAGTATTCTTGCCTGGAGAATCCCATGCACAGAGGAGCCTGGTGGGCTACAGTTCATAGAGTGCAAAGAGTTGGACACCACTTAGCATGTATGCGTTCACGGACTGTAGCCTGCCAGTCTCCTCTGTCCATGGGTTTAATCCCGACAGGAATATTGGAGTGGGTTGCCATTTCCTCCTCCAGGGGATCTTCCTGACCCAAGGATCAAATTTGAGTCTCCAGCGGCTCCTGAATTGGCAGGAGCATTCTTTACCACTGAGCCACCTGGAAGCCCTTCCAAGGATTTGTGCACAGTTTTATGCATATGTTTATGCTCCTGTGTCTTTTTCCTTTAAGTAGTCTACATTGTATAAGTGTCAGACTCCATAAAATCTAGGTCTGGAACAGATGTGTTAGGTTAGGTTAATAGCAGGAGGTGATATTTAGGCACAGCTTTCTGCCCGTGAGCAACTCCACAGTCAGGCCAGGAGATGCAACAGAAGAAGACCAAGGTGAAATTAAGTCCAAAAGACAGACTCAAAGTCTGGCTTTTCCCTCTCAATGCTGTGTGAGTGAGGAAGGGTGAGACAGGGCAGCACTGCCCAGGGGGAGGGATCAGGCACCGAGGGGGAGGTGAGGGCCGCTGCAGGCTGGGGCGGCTTCGGGACAAAGGATGTGCACCAAGAACTGGGAACAGATGAGAACATAGAGTGAAATCGGTAAAGCTGAAGCTTCAGGCTTAGCTCCTCCCAAGGCTTTGAGCGTGTGTGCTCATTGCTCAGTCTTTCTTTGGGACCCCCCTGGACTGTAGCCCAGGGCCTCCCAGGTGGCGCTAGTGGTAAAGAACATGTCAGAGGTGTAAGAGACATGGGTTCTATCCCTGGTTCGGGAAGATCCGCTGGAGGAGGGCATAGCAACCTGCTCCAGTATTCTTGCCTGGAGAATCCCATGCACAGAGGAGCCTGGTGGGCTACAGTTCATAGAGTGCAAAGAGTTGGACACCACTTAGCATGTATGCGTTCACGGACTGTAGCCTGCCAGTCTCCTCTGTCCATGGGTTTAATCCCGACAGGAATATTGGAGTGGGTTGCCATTTCCTCCTCCAGGGGATCTTCCTGACCCAAGGATCAAATTTGAGTCTCCAGCGGCTCCTGAATTGGCAGGAGCATTCTTTATCACTGAGCCACCTGGAAGCCCTTCCAAGGATTTGTGCACAGTTTTATGCATATGTTTATGCTCCTGTGTCTTTTTCCTTTAAGTAGTCTACATTGTATAAGTGTCAGACTCCATAAAATCTAGGTCTGGAACAGATGTGTTAGGTTAGGTTAATAGCAGGAGGTGATATTTAGGCACAGCTTTCTGCCCGTGAGCAACTCCACAGTCAGGCCAGGAGATGCAACAGAAGAAGACCAAGGTGAAATTAAGTCCAAAAGACAGACTCAAAGTCTGGCTTTTCCCTCTCAATGCTGTGTGAGCTTAGGCAAGTCACTGAACGGCTCTGAGCCATCCCTTCTCTACCTGTAAAGCAACCCTGCACACAGTTATTTAGAACAAAAAGAGAAGAGGTTATTTATATACAATATATATACTCTATATAGCAGTATATATGTTTATACAGTACAGGCCACACCCACATCACGGGCTAGATGCTGATGCTAGGAGGGCTGTTCCCTGATCCCAGTTAAATTTAACTCGAGCAACAACCCTGTAGCGGGGTGGGGGAAAGATGGGGGCAGATGGGACAGGTATTCTGTAGAGGAGGAGACTGGGGCAGAGAGCACTTAAGAATAGTTTTCAAGGTCACAAGGGTAGACTCAAATCCTAAGACCTGCATGGTTTTCACTCTAGGAGTAAAGAGTAGATCCTAAGGTGAGGTCATGGCAGGGAAACCGCTGAGCAGATGAGGATGTGTAGGGAATTCACATGTCACATGTACTCTGTTCCTGGAGTCAGGGCAGCATCTAGGCTTTCCTGCCAGAGGAGGGGACAGGGTTAGCAAAATGCTTCTTCATGGGGAACGGGCTAGGGATGATGCCAGCCAAACTGCCTTCAAGCCACCCTCCTTAGTCCAGGGTCTCTGTGGGTTTCCCCAGCACCACAGCTGTACCCAGTTCCTATCCTGCTCCTTGCCTAGCCAAGCCCCAGTCCAACCAGACTCAAGAAGGAAGTTCTGGCTAGGAAGCTCAGTTCTGTTACCCTGCTCCCTAAGGTATGGGGTCGAGAACCCTGCGTTGATTCTGAGTAGGGTACAGGTCCCAAAAGTGTGTTGTTTGCTAGGTCATTTGCCAGCTTCTCTGAACCTTGGCTTCAGTAGCTATAAAATGGAATTAGCCTATCGTATTTCTCTTGCAGGCTTGTTCTAAGCAATAAATATTATCATCTACTGGCAGTTTCTGTATGCCAAACCCTTTGCTAGCCACTTTTCTCACCTTGTCTTATTTAAGCCTTGTAACAACCCTGTGAGGTATCTGGTATGATCGCATCCATTTTACATATGAATAAACTGGCTTCCCTGGTGGCTTAGTAGTAAGGAATCCACCTGCAATGCAGGAGACTCAGGCTCGATCCCTGGGTTAGGAAGATCCCTTAGAGAAGTAAATGGCAACCCGCTCCGGTATTCTTGCCTGGGAAATCGCATGGACAGAGGAGCCTGGTGGGCTGCAGTCTATGGGGTTGCAAAGAGTTGGATACGACTGAGCAACTAAACAAAAAACTGAGTAGACAGTAGAAAGCTAGGATTTGAACCCATGTCTGCAGGACTCCAAGATCCTCACAACATTAGCTCCGGTGCTCTGTAGTGAAGGCGCCTTTGAAAACATCTTGCCCAGCCAGGAGTCACCTCCGGTGGGAACTGATGCTTCCAGCTTGTCTGTGTTTCAGTCCCTCAGCCCGCACACCTGCCTGCCGCCTCCCGGACAGGTGGCCCAGCCTTGTGCAGCCCACAGACCGCACCCTGATTCTGCCGACTTGCTGTCTGCCCTGAGCCAGGAGGAGCAGGACCTCATCGGGCCGGTGGTCGCCCTGGGGTACCCCCTGCACAGGGCTATCGTGGCTCTGCAGAAGACGGGGCGGCAGAGCCTGAGCCAGGTGAGTGGGGGCCCGGAGCTGGGGGCTGTGGAGCTGCAGTTGGGTCAGGGGCCACCTTGTTTTTATCTTCAACTTGAAGCTATTTTGTGTTTGTCTTTGGAGGCAGGATTTCAGCTTCGAATTAATTATTGGGGGTTGTGATCAAGTTTCTAGATCCTAAGGCTACCATCTCCATGGGAGTTTAGCAACACTCCCCATGCCTACTTGGGGAGTCTCAATATTCTACTCCTGTCCAAGTCTCTGCCCCAAAAGTAGGATTGAAGCTTTGGGCAGTCACAAATCTTTCCAGAGCTGCCCAATAGCACTTTCTGCGACAGGAGAGATGTTTTATTCCTGTGTTGTCCAATATAGGAACCACTAGCTATATGTGGTTACTTGAATGTGGCTAGTATGACTGAGAATTGTTATTAATTATAATTAAATGAAATTAAAAGATAAATAGCCACATACAGCTACCATATTGGATGGCATAGCTCTGACAACTTCCCTCAACAGTTAATCCATACCCATATCTATCTCTCTCTCTTTCCATATACCCATCCATCAATCTAGTCATAAGTATTTTCTGGACCTTCCGTGGTGTTTAGATGCAGCTAGGAGCTATGGGGAAACCAGTATTGTGGATTGGGTGCCCAGGAAGCAGACTCCAGTGGGATTTGGCATACAGAGATTTATTAAGGAGACCCTTGGCAACAACTTCTGGGGAAGGGAAAAGACAGAAGCAGGGATGGGTAGAGGGAGAGGTGAGCCTTATAGACCCGGTGACAGCCAACCCCATAGCTCTGAAGCATATATGGCCCTTTGGAGTTGTCATAATTGGGGATGAGATGGTCAGGCCTTCATACCTCTGCCTTAATGAGTCAGTCACCAGATATAGAAAGAGGGTGACTTGAGAGATGTGATCTCTGCAGCTAAGGCAGCCCCTGAAGGGACAGATAGCTGATAGTTTCTACCACCTCTACCACCATCTGCAGTAAGACCTCCAAGGAAGGTGTATCTGGAAGGGGTATCTTAGAGTCTACCACACCAGGTTCCATTTTAAGGACTCCACTCTTATTGGGAGAAGAGTGGATATCAGTAATAACAAGGGTAGGTAGCACCCCAAGCTGCTCTAATATTTGGGAGCAAGTCTTGACCACCACCCCGCCCCCATACAAGCTAACAATACGAGAACACCTGCAGGAGAGTGAGAACCCCTGAATTGCCAAAAGAGAGGTGCTGGTGAGAAGATGCCTGGGAGCAAGAAGGAGCAAGAATGATTCGGGGGTGTTTCAGTTATCTATTGCCGTGTAACAGTCACCCCAACACTTAGTGGCTTAATACTACAACCATGTGTTCACTCATGAGTCTCTGGGTTGGCAGTGTGGGTGGAGTCAGCAAGGAAGTTCTTCTGCTGGTCTCACCTAGGGTCTCTCCTGTGGCTACAGTTTGGTGACCCAGCTAGAGCTGAATAGTCTAGGATGACCTTGATCCCAATCCAGTGGTTGGTGAAACTTGTCAACTAGGCCACATAGCTCCAGCAAGCTAGCCCATGTGTTCCCAAGAGTACAGGAGTGGAAGATGCAAAGTCTCTTGAGGTTGAAATTATAGTCACTTCTGCCTTATACTGTTGGCCAAAGCATGTCATAGACCAGATCAGATTAAAAGGGTAGAAAAATAGACTCTACCTCTTGATGGGAAAAGCTGCAAAGAGTGTATGACTGTTCTTAATCTACCATGGGGAGGTTTCCGTAATTGAGAAAGGCTTCATGAAGGTATAAAGCCTTGAGCTGGACTTTAAGGATGGATAAGACCTAAATTTGAAGAAATGAGAAGGATGATCTTCCAGGCAGGAGGAACAGTATCAGCTAAGAGGCAGAGGCAGGAAGGACTTGGGAGGACCTGATCCAAGTCTTCCTGAATATATGATGCGGGTTGGTGGGAGATAGGACAGGAAGGGGAATAGAGGGAAGGTTAAGGGTTCCTTGAAGGCTGGCCTGAGAGTTTTCTTAAAGACCCCACAGCAGAAGGGAGGCATGAAAGCACTGTGAGCAGGGGCAGGAGGTGGGCATTGAATATCATCATCTGAATCCCTTCCCCCAACCTGAATGTTGCATCCCTTTTTGCATTGTTTTCTATGCACCAGGGTTACTGGTGGTTGGAAAGCTGAGCCACAGGTGTTGAATGGGACATATTTCCTTCTCCTGTTTGCCCCACCACCATCGGTGGACTTGGAGGCCCTCTCCCTAGGCCCTGATTGTGGCCGTATGTTGAGTCTCTGAGGTCTGGAGCTGCCTGCTCCTGGGTGAGGGAGTGGCTCAGACAGGCGCCAGATCAGGATGTGCTGCTGCAGGTTGAGGAGGTGGAAGGCACTGGGTCCTCTTCCCCATCCACTCCTGCTCCCGCTCCACTTGGTTCATCAGTCCTAGAGGAAAGGGTTCAGCGTGGTGCCCCCCACATATGGTGGCTAACATGGTGGAGGAGATGGCGGGGGTGCTGCTAATATTTACTGAGCACCTTTGTGCCAGCCCCTCAATCTGAGAGTATTCATTTAGGTCTTCTCATTTCTGCAAGGTTGCTTTTACTGTTTCCACTTTGCAGATGAGGAAACTGAGGTCAGAGAGGTTCACATAATTAGTCAGTGGTGGCACCAGGGTGGATGCCGGGCTGGTGTGGTTCTGAATTTTGTTACACTGTGCTTTTCTCTCATTTTCTGTGTGAAAATCTTCCAGGACAGCACCTTAGGTTGATCTGAGATTTAAGAGTAGATTTAAAGTTGCTTCCACCTTCAGCTGCTGCTGCAAAGCCAGGACCTTGGCCAAGAAGCAGTCCAGAAGCACCAGGAGGGGCCAGGCCCATGTGGGGACTCTGACATGTCTCCCCAACCCCTCCAGACCCTGTGACAAGGCTGAGGTCTCAGGTCATCACTGTGGGGATCTGAAGATTAGCTGGGGGCAGCACAGGGCATTGGCCTCCCTTTGGGTGTGCTGGAAGGGTCTCACTGCATCAGGAGCACTGTGTTTCCAGATGTAGACTGACCACGTGCCTGGTGGGCCTTCTCCCAGTGAGCATTCAGGGTCTAGGCTCTGAGGGGTAGGCCTGAGGGCCGTCGGATGACTTTATCTTGATCTCCCCGACCACGTTCTCTCTGTTTTGTGACGTTCCACCTTTAACTGGACGTCTCTTTTGGGTTCACGGCCCTTCTCCCCATGAAAGACAAATACTACAATAATTCGTCTTTGGTCAGAGATGAACAGCAAATGGTCCAGGAGGGTGGGCATCAGTTGATGGAGACAGGGCACTTGGAAAAACCAAGGAGAGAGGAAGAAATACAAAATCTAAGCTTTGTCCATCACTCCTTCCTTCCTGCCCCAGGATCAGTGTGCCCACTGACTGCCTGCAGGACAGGCATGGGTGGCACTTTTGAGGGTCCATAGGCCAGACCCAGGCTTACCCTTAGACTCTAGACACATCATGGCCCCTCTCTGAGCCTCATTTCCCCCATTCACAGAATGGAGGAGAATATGTTTATGATCAGTGACTGCTGGGGGTCCCATCCTGGGATCTGAAGGTGACATCCTCACCCACCCTGGGGCCTGAGCTAGGCCCAGTTATGGACCAAGCAGGAGAGTCCTTACAAGTGCGGATTCTCGGAACCTACTCTGCAGGATCAGTAGATCTGGAGTGGGCCCAGGGGCCTATCATTTTAAAAGATCTGCAGATGGTTCTGATACGCAGCCTGGCTTGGGTCTACTGGGTTGGACTGAGTCAGAGACCTTTAACCTTGTGGCTGCACACAAGAATCACCTGGAGAGCTGTAAAAATCGCAGTGCCAGTCTTCCCCCCTACCAGACCTATCAGGGCCTCTGGACGTGACCATCATCAGCAGGGTATGGGCAGTGATACTGAGACACCAGTGTTTTGTTGCTATTGTTTTGTTAACTTTTTATTTTGTATTGGAGTATAGCTGATTAACAATGTTATGATAGTTTCAGGTGGATAGCAAAGGGACTCAGTCATACATATACACGTGTCCATTCTCCCACCTAATCCCCTCCCATCCAGGCTGCCACCTAACACTGAGCAGAATTCTATGTGCTATTCAGTAGGTTTTTGTTGGTTATCCGTTTTAAATATATCAGTATGTACATGACCATCCCAAACTCCCTAACTATTTCTTCCTCTATGCTTCTGCCCCTCTAGTAATCATAAGTTCATACTCTAAGACTGTGAGTCTGTTTTGTGAGTAAGTTCATTTGTATCATCTTTTTTTTAGATTTCACGTATAAGGGATGTCATAGGATATTTCTTCTTCTCTCTCTAACTTACTTCACTGTACGACAATCTCTAGTTCCATCCATGGTGCTGCAAATGGCATTATTTCATTCTTTTTAATGGCTGAGTAATATTCTATTATATATGTGTACCACATCTTTTTTATCCATTGCTCTGTCAATGGACATTTAGGTTGCTTTCATGTCTTGGCTATTGTAAACAGTGCTGCAATGAACACTGGGGGATATGTATCCTCTTGGACCATGTTTTTCTTTGGATATATGCCCAAGAATGGGATTGCAGGGTCATATGGTAGCTCTATTTTTAGTTATTTTAAGGAATCTCCATACTGTTCTCCATAGTGTCTCTACCAATTTACATTCTCCCCAGCAGTGAAGGAGGGTTACCTTCTCCACACCCTCTCCAGAATTTATTGTTGAGGCACCGTAGTTTTAAAGCTTCCAGGTAGCTACAGTCAGCACTGAGGCTGAGAACTTTTGCTGTAGATGAACAGACCTTCGGAAACTCTGTCTACTTGCAAGCCAGCTCAAAGTTCCTCTTCTAGCAACGGGACCCATGGACAAGGCACTGGCCAAGAAGTCAGGTGATCTGGACCCTAGTCCTGGGACCCTGGTCTGCCCTGCCTGAACCTCAGTTCCCCCAACTGTGCAAGGAGAGCTGAGTTGGTTGGTTTTCAAAATGTGCCCAGAGCAAGGTTCCTGGGGTGAGGGCCCTGGACTCTGGGCTCTCTCTATCTCTAGCCCCCAGTTCTCCCAGAGCAACTGCAACGTCCCCCTGTTACTGTTGAAGTCCCCTGGTGCTTGGACAGTTCAGAGGCTAGACTGGTTTGAAAGTCATTAGTCTATGTGGTCTGTTTTATGCTCCGTCCCGAAGGTCTGCAGAAATCCGACTTGCTTTTTCCCTCCACTCGTACCCATACTTTAATCATCTGGAGCCTTCATTTGGCACCAATTCCCTGTAAATCCTACTTTGATTTGCCTGGCGCTCGTGTTTTCTTGTATCTGGTTTATCTCCCCCAAGGAGCTATGAGCTCCCGGAAGGTAGTTCTTAATTTAGTTTATAAACACAGCTTACATTTATTGAGCTCCTTCTGCCTGCCTGCCGTGCTAGATGCTGGGACACAGTGGTGTCCTCCTGTGGGACAAAAGCTTGGTGGATGAGAAAGCTGAGGAAGATAGTAGGCAGTTACAGAGCTGTAGGTGTGGAGAAGCCTTGAGTGCTGTGGGAATACCTGATGGAGATGGAGGTGGGACTGGGGGTAGGGAGAGGCTACCCAGGGTCGAGGAGTGAGGCTGGCCTTGGCCTTGGAGCCGGATAGGCAGGAGTCTGGGGGTGCTGAGGGAAGCAGCCAAGGCTGCTGACAGAGCGAGCAGGCCTTTGAACGTGGGGTTGGAAGGCAGAACTTTATCCTGAGGGCGAAAGCAGCCCCTGGTGAATAAGCAGGGAGTGGCCGGAAGAGGTGCTCAGCCTGTGGGCCCTTGGCTGTCCCCTCCCCTTCCCGCCTTGGTACAACACTGCTGTGGGGTGGGGCCCGTGGAGTCCGGACCGCACAGATACTGCCTGTGTGGAGCGGGGGTGGGGGTGCACAGGGCTGGCTGGACAAGGAGGCACCCTCACCCAGGGGAGTGCTCACCGGGGAGGGTGTGCAGGCTGGGTGGATGGTGGGTAGACACCCGCCTCTGAGGCCTGGCCTGTTCCCCACCTAGGTTCTGGGAACACCTTGACCCTCCCCGACAGCTCTCTTCCTGGACTCCAGCCCCCAGCTTGGACAGTTGGTGAGGCTTTGCGGTCCACCTGTCCCCAGGGAGGCCTCTGACCCTCCTCTGTTGCCTCCTGGAGCTCTGGGGCCATGCTGTGTATGGCTGCTTGCCCGGTCAGCCTGGCCCTGAGCTCAGCCCTCCTGAGGCCCTGGGGTACCTCCTCCATCGCACCTGCTGTCCTGCTCATTCCTCTTACTGTCCTTCCCTCTGTGCCCCTTTCCTGCCCAGTTTCTCAGCTACCTTAGCGCCTGTGACCGGCTGCTGCGACAGGGCTACGAGGAGGGCCTGGTGGATGAGGCCATGGAGATGTTCCAGTTCTCCGAGAGCCAGGTCAGCAGAGCCCCCTGCCCGGGCCCCCGGCGAGGGGACAGTGAGGGGAGGGGTGGGGTACCCACGCAGGCCTGGGGTGCAGGGGCTGACCAGCACCAGAGGCAGCCTGGGGGGCTCAGGAGACAGCCTACTTGCTGAACCCCAGGGAGAAGGAGACAGCCTAGGGAGATGAGACATGGAGAAGGCAAGAGGACCCAAGGGGAAGGGGTGGGGAGGAAACAGGAAGCAGAGCTCTGTGCCAAGTCGCTTCAGTTGTGTCCGACTCTGTGCGACCCCATGGACTGTAGCCCGCCAGGCTCCTCTGTCCATGGGATTCTCCAGGCAAGAATGCTGGAGTAGATTGCCATGCACTCCTCCAGGGGATCTTCCCAACCCAGGGATTGAACCTGCATCTCTTACATCTCTTGCATCGGCAGGCGGGTTCTTTACCACTAACACCACCTGGGCAGAGCTTTATAGCTGAATCAACCCAGCAAATATTGACTGGCTCCTCTTTGTCGGACACCCAGACAGGAGCCAGGCAGGGAGCATGATGATGCTTGAACTCTCTTCAGGGAGTCTGCCACCTACCTGGAAACCCAGAAGGCTTGAGGTTGTGGCCCCAGTTAGGGGGACATTCTGAGAGCCCAGTGAGTGTGACCTGTCCACAGTCGGCAGTTGGCCAAGGCAGAGCAGACTTCCCGGAGACTGTGGGAGGGATGGTGGGGTGGGAGGGATGCCGAGGGGTGCGGGGAGAGGCAGGGGAGTTTTGAGCAGTGGGGTCAGAGGAGGCAGGCAGAGGCTGTGCTGTGTGAAGGTTTGGGCCCTGTGCAGAGGCCCTGTGCTGTGCATCCTCTGGGCACCAGTATGCAGCCTTCTCTTCCAGCCCCAGCGCAGGGCGCGAGCACAGGCGGTCAGGAGGGAGTGGGGGAGGGGAAGTGACGGTAAGACAGACAGAGCCAGCAGCCAGGCTGGGGCCTCCTTCCTTGGCACAGGAAGCGAGGTTTGAGCCCACGTGGCCTCATGTCATTGAGATACAGGAAAACCATAGGTGCTGGCCAGGATCAGGCTCACCTGGCCTGTGGGGTCATGGCTTTCTGGGGGTATGTAGAGTGGGTACTTGGGAGGGGACTGCCCAAGCCAGAGGCCCAGCCTCCCAGAGCCCCCCATGCCCTCTCCGCCTCCTCTTCCTCAGGCGGGGGAGTTCCTGCGCCTCTCCGAGCAGTTCAGCGACATGGGCTTCCAGCAGGACCGCATCAAGGAAGTGCTACTGGTCCATGGCAACCGCCGCGAGCAAGCGCTGGAGGAGCTGGTGGCCTGTGCCCAGTGACCTCCAGGGCACCTGGCAGTGTCTGTGCATCCTGGTCCTGACCCGGACCTGGCGATCCACCCTGACTGTGTCGTGACGACTCCATGGGAGCAACAAAGCAGTGCATGCTTCTTGTAAAAACGCACACAACGCCAAGGGTGGGGGTAGATACTGTGGAGGAGGCAGAACTTCACCTCTGAGGACTTCACAGGGGCTCTGTGACAAAAAGACAGGTTAACCAGAGAAAAACCAAAATGTGTTAATGCAGGTGGCAAGCATCGTGCCCAAGAAACTTCCATGAAAAGTAACTCAAGATAGCAATTTAGAACTCTGGCTGGGAAAGATACCCTAGAGAAGAGAAAGGCTAACTACTCCAGTATTCTGGCCAGGAGAATTCCATGGACTGTATAGTCCATGGGGTTGCAAAGAGTTGGACATGACTAAGTGACTTTCACTTTATATAGCATTTACAACAAACAACAATACATTTGTGGAGAAATGACAGGACAAAGGAAAACAGTTTCAGGCTTCCAAGGATGGCAAACTGTAGGGAGGTAAATATATGAAGGGAACTAATGAAGTAAGATTTATTTGCAAGTTCCCTGGTGCACTGCTGGGTTGACAAGAATCTGTCTCCAGATTCTGCCTCAAGGCAGAAAAGAGGGGAAGGGAAGAGAGAACTTTTCTTGCATTTTCTGCTTAATTGCCTTTAGCTCAGTTATGTCAAGGGTTTCCCAGATGGCTCAGTGGTAAAGAATCCACCTGACAATGCAGGAGATGCAGGAGACACAGGTTCAGTCCCTGGGTTGGGAAGACCCCCTGGAAAAGGAAATGGCAACCTGCTCCAGTATTCTTATCTGGAGAATTCCTGTGGACAGAGGAGACTGGTGGGCTGTAGTCTGTGGGGCCACAAAGGGTTGGATGCGACTGAGCAGAATTATGTCAAAGAGGCATATTTTGGGATGACATTCCGATTTCCTTCAATATCAGAAGAAGCAGCTTAAAGAGGTGAAAGTGGCTCCTTGTGAGGAGGGCCAGATGAGGTGCATAGGCGACAAACTGCGTGTTTTCTTATAAGCCTTGTAAAATGATCTGTATTTGATTCTTTAAACTATGGGCATTAGTAACTTTAAGAAAATTAAAACAAATAAATATTGTGTAGTTCTTTGGGTCCTGGTTTCTGGTCTTGGTGTGGAAAGGATATCTAACTATGGGTGAGAGAAACGAATTCTGATTTTGGTTCTGCTGATGACTGGCTCAAGGCCTCTTTGGGCTTAAGTTTCCCCAGGGAAAGTGGAGTGACTGGACCTGACTGCTATCCATAAGAGTGCCCTGGGGAGTTTGTTAAAATGTCCAAAGCCCCACTCCTGGATAATCTGATTCAGAAAGTCCAGTTTGGCAGCCCACAGGAATCTGTTTTGTTTTTATAAGAAGCTCTCTGGAGATTCTTTCATTTTCCTTTTTATTTTTTAAATCACTGTTTTGGTTATATTGTTGACCCTCTTCATTCATTTTCCCCCTCTCCCATGCCCCACCTCTGTCAGCCACTATCTGTTCTTTGTATCTGTGAGCTTGTTTTTGTTTAGTAGTCCACATATAAGAAAAATACAGATTTGTCTTTCTGTGTCTGATTTGTTTCACTTAGTGTAGTGCCCTCAAGACCCATCCATGTTGTCACAAATGGCAAGATCTCATTCTTTCTTATGGCCAATAATATTCCATTGTATACACACCAGAGTTTCTTTATCCATGCATCCGTCAATAGACACTTATGTTGTTTCCATTATCTTGGTTGTTTCTAATAATATGGCAGCGAACCTTTGGGCTGCAGATACCTTTTCAATTTAGTGATTTCGTTTTCTTCAGATAATATCCAGAAGTGGAATTGTTGGCTCATATGGTAGCTCTCTTTTTAATTTCTGGAGGAACCTCCACACTGTTTTCCAGTTTTCCATAATGGCTGCACCAATTTCCCTTCTTACAGTGTGCGTGAGGGTTCCCTTTTCTCCATATCCTCACAAACACTTGTGATTTCTTGTCATTTTGATAATAGTCATTCTGATAGGTGTGAGACGGCATCTCACTGTGGTTTTGATTTACATTTCCCTCATAATTAATGATGTTTTCATCTGTATGTTGGCCTTCTGTATGTCTTCTTTGGGAAAAACTCTATTTAGATCTTCCCATTTTAAAATCATATTGTGTGGGTGTTTTTTTTTTTTTTTCTGTTGACTTGTATGAGTTCTTTTTATAAAATTAATTTTTAATTTTTTATTATTTTTTGGCCATACCATGGGCCATGTGGGATCTTAACTCCCTGACCAGGGATCCAATCATACTCTCTGTGGTGAAAGCTCGGAGTCTTAACCACTGGACCACGAGGGAAGTCGCTAAATGAGCTCTTATCTATTTTGGAGATTAGCCCCTTATCAGATATATGATTTGCAAGTATTTTCTCTCATTATGTAGGTTGCCTTTTCACTCTGTTGATGGTTTCCTTTGCTGTACGGAGCTTTTTATAATAGTTTGATGTAGTCCCACTTGCTTATTTTTGCTTTTGTTGCATTTGCTTTGGGTGTCAGATTAAAAAAGTCCTCTNACGGACTTTTGTTGGCAAAGTAATGTCTCTGCTTTTTAACATGCTGTTTAGGTTTGTCATAGCTCTTCTTGCAAGGAGCAAGCATCTTTTAATTTCATGACTGCAGTCATCATCTGTAGTGATTTTGAAGCCCAAGGAAGTAAAGTCTCTCACTGTTTCCATTGTTTCCCCATCTATTTGCCATGAAGGGATGGGACCAGATGCCATGATCTTCGTGTTTTGAGTGTTCATTTTAACCCAGCTTTTCACTCTTCTCTTTCACCTTCATCAAGAGGTTCTTTAGTTCCTCTTTGCTTTCTGCTATAAGAGTGGTGTCATAAGGGTGTCATTGAAGATACTGTCTTTTCTCCATTGTATATTCTTGACTCCTTGATTGTAAATTAATTGACCACATATATGTGTGGGTTTATTTCCTGGCTCTCTAGTCTGTTCCATTGATCTGTGTATCTGTTTTTATGACAATATCTTGGTGGATTTTTAGTCAATGTAATGGGCCCATGGCCAGTGGGTCTGACTTCCACTTTCACAGTCTGTGATCCTATGTCAGTTTTCCCTCACTTGGGGATTGGGACCAGAGTTGCCTTCGGTCATCCCAAGCCTATCTTCTGGAGGTCCCCAGGGACTGAGGGGACAAATTGCTGGAGCTGCCCATGACAGGCAAGTAGGGGTCAGAGGACAGGACGCTGATGCCTCTGTCCTTCCCAGTTGCCCTGAGCACTGACCTGGAGCATTTAGTGCAGAACTGAAATCTCTCAGCCCCTTCCCCCCAATAAACAGGGCTGGACCTGGGGCTGAGGCCTGTGAAAAGACAAATAAAATCTTGTTTGAACATGCAGTGAGGACCTTAGCAGGCCTATACAGGCCTAAACAGAACTCGGGTCTTCTGAGGCCCATCCAGTCCCTGAGTATTTTCCACTAAGCCTCAAGGCCTGCCAACTTGAAATTACATTAAAAATATCCTTTGCCCTTAAAATTTTGCTTTAAATAACTTGCAGGCAATATAAAACTATTTGAGAAATCTGTTAGATGGCATAAAGTTAGTAAAAAAAAATATAATTGCACTTGGAAAAGACAGAAAAATTAAAATTCAATTCTAAGACGCAATGTTAAATCCAAAGTTATTTCTGTTTTGATTAAGGTAATCTGGCCTTAGTCTGCTGCTTTATTAAGTCCTCTTGATTCAGTTCAGTTCAGTTCAGTTGCTCAGTCATGTCCGACTCTTTGCGACCCCATGAAACGCAGTATGCCAGGCCTCCCTGTCCATCACCAACTCCCAGAGTTTACTCAAACTCTATGTCCATCGAGTTGGTGATGACATCCAGCCATCTCGTCTTCTGTTGTCCCCTTCTCCCCCTGCCCCCAATCCCTCCCAGCATCAGGGTCTTTTCCAATGAGTTAACTCTTTGCATGAGTTGGCCAAAGTACTAGAGTTTCAGCTTCAGCATCAATTCTTCCAATGAACACCCAGGACTGATTTCCTTTAGGATGGACTGGTTGGATCTTCTTGCAGTCCAAGGGACTCTCAAGAGTCTTCTCCAACACCACAGTTCAAAAGCATCAATTTTTCGGTGCTCAGCTTTCTTCACAGTCCAACTCTCCCATCCATACATGACCACTGGAAAAACTATAGCCTAGGTTTGGACTAGACAGACCTTTGTTGGCAAAGTAATGTCTCTGCTTTTTAATATGCTATCTAGGTTGGTCATAACTTTCCTTCCAAGGAGTAAGTGTCTTTTAATTTCATGGCTGCAATCACCATCTGCAGTGACTTTGGAGCCCCCCAAAAATTTGACACTGTTTCCACTGTTTCCCCATCTATTTCCCATGAAGTTTGGGGCCAGATGCCATGATTTTAGTTTTCTGAATGTTGAGCTTTAAGCCAACGTTTTCACTCTCCTCTTTCACTTTCATCAGGAGGCTTTTTAGTTCCTCTTCACTTTCTGCCCTTGATTAAAGGTGACCAGTTGGCCGGCCCCTCCCCCACATTGCAGTGCCTTCTCCTGTGTTACTCCTCCATCCTTCTCCCATCTGCCCCCAACCTTCCCATCCCTAGAAACTATGGTTTGATTACAAATGAAACGTCAATGGGCACATTGTTAGTTTACGTTATTTTTTTAGGAAGTAGAATAGTATCACAGTTAAAGGCATGGGCTCTGAAGTCAAATTTGGGCTGAAACTACAGCCCTGTTACTAACTAGCTGTGTGACCTTTTGAAAGTCTTAACCTCTCTGTGCCTCAGTTCCTTACCTGTAATATATGGATCCTGAAACTTCCCAATTAGAATGATTAAACAGGAGAATGCACAGGAAGCTTATGACATGGTATCTAGTAGCTATTTACTTATTTGTTCATATTTATGCCCTACTTTGTTCTATAATCACTACTACCTTTATTCTGTCATCCTTCCCATTATTGTTATGGTTAAAAAATCTCCAGCATTAGAGGGTGTGGAGAAAAGGGAACCCTCTTACACTGTTGGTGGGAATGCAAATTAGTACAGCCACTATGGAAAACAGTGTGGAGATTTCTTAAAAAGCTGGAAATAGAACTGCCATATGACCCAGCAATCCCACTTCTGGGCATACACACCAAGGAAACCAGATCTGAAAGAGACACGTGCACCCCAATGTTCATCGCAGCACTGTTTATAATAGCCAGGACATGGAAG